ATGGCCTGTGGGCCCAGGAGCCCGGAGCATGGGTCAGTGGGCGGGCTGCCTCGTCTCCTCTGGGCCTGGTCTGCACCAGCTGCAGGCCGGCTCTGTCAGAGAGCCTTGCTTCTGCCCTGGCATGGGGAAAAGCTTGTGTCAGAATGTGCCCTCCTCGTCAGGCCACCTCTTGCTCTGTGACATGAAGAGAGGGCCGCCTCTTGCTCTGTGACATGAACGTAGTAAATAGGACCTTTCCTGGGTAAGGCTGCCGTTGAGTGAATCCATTCTTACCAACAGCCAGCACTGTGAGAGTTGCCACCACGTGCCAGGTAGTGTTCTAGGATTTCCACAGAGGAAGGCATTTGATCTCTGGGAACCTGGTATCCAGTAGGAAGCTGGGGTGCCTGACCTGAGCATAGGCCAAGCCTGGCTGAGCTGAGGGGAGCCCAGGCCTGGGGGGGAGGGGGCTGGAGCAGGCCTGCCTGGCTGTGGCACTTGCTTTAATGAAGTACTGGCTCGTGTTGCTTCCAAGAGAGGCCCTCACCCCCTTGGTGCTGTGGGACAGCCCCAGCCTTTGGGTCTGTCCGTCTGTCTGACCTCCCAGGTGCCTTCTAAGGAAGGCCAGGGAGAGGAGCGGGGAATTCCTGGGAAGATGTGGACATTCCCAGATCTGGGCAGGCCTCCAGGCCCCTCTGGACCAGAGCCATCCTGCCTGCTGCTTGCTCTGGAGAAAGGAATCTTCCCGAAACCCCGAGGAGACAGGCAAAGACCATTTTCAGAAGACCCATGCTGAGCACCCCGGGAGTGGGTGGTGAAAGGGTGGGCATACCTCACTAAGAGGTCACCCCTCTGGCTTCTCAGGCAGGGCTGAGCTGAGCTCTTACAGTGCCATGGCTGAGCCTCTGGCGCCACCTAGTGGAGATCCAGGTGTCCCATGAGAGGGGGTGGGGTGCCCTTCTGGGCTAGGGGTGTGGGTGGCCTGAGGCCCAATAGTGGGGAAGTGGGGTGCAGGCACACTAGTGAGTATAAAGAAAGAGAAGTGTTGGCTTGGTTCTGGCCATGCCAGCCCAGTGCCATGTATACCAGGCCGCCGTGCCAGGACCCGTCTGTGGGGCCACAGCAGTGCCTCACTTTGGTGCTACTGGTCTTCAGCTTACACTTCTGAAAAATCCGGGTGCTAGTGGCTCATGCCTGTAATCCTAGCTACTCAGGAGGCTGAGATCTGAGGCCAGCCCAGGCAGGAAAGTCTCTAATCTCCAATTAACCACTCAGAAAACCGGAAGTGGTGCTGTGGCTCAAGTGGTAGATTGCTAGCCTTGAGCTGAAGAGCTGAGGGACAGCGCCCAGGCCCAGTTCAAGAGGGTTGTTGCCCATACCTAGCGACTCAGGAGGCTGAGATCTGATCTCCAATAAGCTACTCAGAAAAAGACAAAAGTGGTGGTGCTGTGGCTCAAGTGGTAGAGCACTAACCTTGAGCAAAAGATACTCAGAGACAGGGCCCACAGGTCCAGAGTTCAAGACTCAGGACAGGCTAAAAAGAAAAAGAGAGAGCAGATGGTTGGTGTGAACCTCTCCCTGTGTTAACGTCTATAAACTACACAAAGAAGTGGCTGACCATTTTAGCTTTAAAGTTTGATAAATCTTTATTTGGGTCCACTCCTTGTCATATACTAGCTGTGTATCGTTTTTGTTTTTTTTTTGTCAGTCTTGGGGTTTGAACTCTGGGCCTAGATGCTGTCCCTGAGCTCTTCAGTTCAAGGTGATGCTCTACCACTTGAGCCACAGCGCCACTTCTGGTTTTCTGGTGGTTAATTGGTGATTAGAGTCTCACAGAATTTCCTGCCCAGGCTGGCTTTGAACCTTGACCCTCAGATCTTAGCCTCCTGAGTAGCTAGTATTACAGGCATGAGCTACCAGCACCCAGCTAGTTGTGTGTCTTTGCGTTACTTTCCCTCTCTAAGCCTGAGTAATAATGTAAAGATGAAGGAGTGCTTATAGCAAGTGTTTAGGACAGAGCCTGATACTTGCGGAGTACTCAAGTAAATAGTGCAGATGATGCAGAGAACAGTAACTTTTAATTCAAATAGCCACTAAAGGCAGGAGGTGATGGATGCTAAAGACAATTGTTGAATGCCTGGGTGTTGGGAGAAGGGAAAATGCTGGGTGGCGTTGGGGCAGGTCCTCAGGTCTGTTTTCTAGCCACATTAGGGAAGCACAACTCTGAACTGGAACCCAGTACAGGATGCTCAGGGTGGGGCTTGGTACCCCACCTGTCTCCCATATCCCCCCACCCCTGATCTTTTGAGGATGTTGGGTATAGACTAGGAGTTCTGCTTCCTCCCACTGCTCTGGGGAGCTGGAGCGTGGGGGCCACGAAGGTTAGGGTTGAGTTTCCACCGGATCTGGCCTGTTGCTGCTTGCTGACCTGGACGGGTTTGCTCTTTCCTATTCTTCCTCTCCTCTCTTCTCACAAGTTCCTGCTATTCCAGTCTGTCTTCTTTCCCTCCCTCCCTCCCTTCCTTTCTTTCTTCTTGGTTGGCTGTAGGGATTGAACTCTGGGCGTGGGTGCAGTCCCTGAGCTCTTCAGCTCAAGGCAAACACTCTACCACTTGAGCCACTGCACCACTCCTGGTTTTCCGGTGATTAATTGGAGATAAGAGTCTTATGGGGAAATTTCCTGCCCCGGATGGCTTTGAACTGTGATCCTCAGATCTCGGTCTCCTGTGTAGCTAGGATTACAGGTGTGAGTCACCAGCACCCAGCCTCCTTCTTTTCTTTCTTTTTGTGCCAGTCCTGGGGCTTGAACTTATGTCCCGGGCACTGTCCCTGATCTTCTTTTTTTTTTTTCTTAATATATGTATATATTTATATATATTTTATTGTAATGATACTGTGATACTGTACAGAGGGGTTACAGTTACATGAGCAAGGTAATCAGTCTATTTCCTATTGAGCATTGTTATACTTTCCTTCCCTCCCCACCTCCCCAACTCCTCCCTCTCCTTCCCCCCCAAGTTGTAGTTTGTTTTCAACGTACTGTCTTGTACATCTCATTATTACAATGGGTCATCCTGATTCCTTATTTCAACATCCCCTGAGTTTCTTTTGCTCAAGGCTAGCATTCTACCACTTGGGCCACAGTGACACTTCTGGCTTTTTTTTTTTGTGTATGTGGTACTGAGGAATTGAACCCAGGGCTTCATGCATGCTAGGCAAGCACTCTACCACTGAGCCACCTTCCCAGCCCCTCAGGATTCTTTTAAATGTCATCTCTCTGTTCTCATTCTAGAGACCTTCCGATACCCCCAGGCTTCTCTGGCTTTCCCTCTTCATGGTGACCCTCACCTTGCATAACATCTACCTGGCTGAATTGGAATTATTTATTGGCATGCTTATTTCCCCCTGTGAGCCGAAAGCTCCTTGGTGCAGAAGTCTTTGGTATTTTTAGATACAGAGTTTCCATAGCACATTAGGTACTCTGTGAGAATGTGCTTCTGTGAACATCCATGCACCTTTGATCTGGCTCAGAGGATGGGGTTGCTGTGGTATTGGGGACGGAACCTGGGACCTTACGCATGCTGTGCAAATGCTCCACCACTGAGCTCTAGTCTCGGCTCACAACGTGGCGTTTCCCATTTTTGCTGGTTGCTGCTTTCCTTGGTGAGCTCAGTGGTTGGGAAGCAAACAGATGGACTCCGGCCCGGGTCCCGATGAGACTGCAGCGCTGGGGGCTCAGCCTGCAATCCTAGCTGCACAGGAGGCTGAGCTCTGGGGACTACAGTTCAAAGCCAGTCTGGGTGTAAAAGTCCCTGAGAATCATCTCCAATTAACCAGCCAAAGTTGGAAGTGGAGCTGTGGCTCAATGGTAAAGCTCCAGCCTCAAGCAAAAAAGCCAAGTGATATACAGTGAGGCCCTGAGTTCAAGCCCCAGTACTGGCACAAACAAACAAACAAGCAGGGCTAGAGGTGTGGCTCAGTGATATAATGTATGCTTAGTAAGTATCAGACCCTGAGTTCAAACCCCAGTATTGCCAGAAACAAACAAAAAACAAAAACAAAACAAAAACGATATTAAATATTCATCAAAACCAATGGACCCTTAATGGTTCTAGCCCCAGTTTCTGGATGAACCCTTCTCAGGCTCTTACATGGGGTAAGTGCAATTGTAATTCACTTTCCAGATTTGAAACATGAAGTTCATTATGGTCAATCACTTACCACATAGCTTATAGAAGGCAAAACCATGCCAGGAAACCAGATCTAATTTCAGAGCTCTGTGTGTGTGTGTGTGTGTGTGTGTGTGTGTGTGTGTGGGTGTGGGTGTACATGAGGGCTTGAACTCAGGACCTCACTATTTCACTGGGCTTATTTTGCTCACAGCTACTATTCTATCAATTGAGCTATGCCTCCAGTCTAGCATCTTGCTGATTCAGGAGATAAGAGTTTCATACACTTTTCTACCTGGGTTAGCTTTGAACTGTGATCCTGAAGAGCTCTCAGCTTCCTGAGTAGCTAGGATTACAGATGGGAAACACTGATGCCTGCTTCCTGTTTGGACTTTAGAGACAGGGGGCTCACGCCATTGCTCAGGCTAGTCTGGACCTTTTGATTCACTTGCTTTGACCTCCCAAGTGCTGGAATTACAGGCATGCACCACTGCACCTGGCTCACAGGACTCAATTCTGAACACAAGAGCTTCCTCAGCAGCTTGGCAGGCCACTCTGACCCCAATGCCTGGCGCAGGTCCCTCTGGGGGCTGCCCAGTGTGACCTGCTGTGGTCCTGGGGACCAGCAGCGGCGGTGGAGGCTGAGATGTTTGAGGGAAGCAGAGATTACTCAGTGTCCAGCAGAGGGCCCTGGCCAGCCTGTGGTCAGTAGGGTGGGAGGGAGGGCTGGCCAGGCAGACGCCTGACTGGAGGCGGACCCAGCGGCCAGCTGCCTCTCTTGATTCTGCCCAGCATTTGGGTCCTGGGTCTTCACCTGCTCGCCGGGGGCAGCTGCATCCTGCTTGTCTAGCCATGAGGTGGCCGTGGCCCCTGGCTATCTCTCTTGCGGTGGTATTGGCTGTGGGGCTGAGCAGGGTCTCTGGGGGTGCCCCCTTGGCCTCAGGTGGACACAGCACCAAGGTCCAGGAGCAGCCGAGTCGAGCCAGGAGAGGCACCAAGGCTGAGGGGCCAAAGGAGGTACAGCAGTATGCACCAGAGGAGAGGGCCGAGTACCCCCGGCCCATCCACCCTGCCAACCTGCAGCCCACCCGGCCCCTGGTGGCCACCAGCCCCAACCCAGACAAGAATGGGGGCACCCCTGGCAGTGGGCAGGAGCCAAGAGGCAACCTGACGGGGAGCCCGGGTCAGAGGCTGCAGATTCAAAACCCCCTGTATCCGATGACGGAGAACTCCTACAGCGCCTACGCCGTCATGCTCCTGGCGCTGGTGGTGTTTGCTGTGGGCATCGTGGGCAACCTGTCGGTGATGTGCGTCGTGTGGCACAGCTACTACCTGAAGAGCGCCTGGAACTCCATCCTGGCCAGCCTGGCCCTCTGGGATTTCCTGGTCCTCTTTTTCTGCCTTCCAGTCGTCATCTTTAATGAGCTCACCCAACAGAGGCTTCTGGGTGATATTTCTTGTCGCGCTGTGCCCTTCATGGAGGTAAGTGTGGGCCTTCTAGAACTCAGCAATGTGGGTGGGGGGCATGGCCTAGGCCAGGAGCTCAGTCTCCACCAGGCACTGGAAAGAGAATCGGTGTCCATAGAATGGCAGAGCCGTGGAGCTCAGACTCAGGTTCCTTCCTCGCTCCTACGTGGGGGAAAGAGACAATCATGACGTTGGTCTCTGGTCGCCCTGAGAACAGGTGTGCAGGGCTGCAACCTTCGTCCTCCCAGGCTTTTCAAGAAGGTCAGAGAGAATCCATAGAGACTCTCCCTGAGTGCTGGGAGATGGGGTGGGAGTGGGGACAAAACACAGGAGCCAGGTTAGGGCACCGGTGGCTCACATCTGTAATCCTAGCTACTCAGGAGGCTGACATCTGAGAATCTAGGTGGGAAGCCAGTTAGGGCAGGCAAGTCTGCGAGACTCTTGTTTCCAATTAGCTAGCAAAAAGCCAGAAATGGATGCATGGTTTAAGTGGCAGGGTGCCAGCCTTGAGGGAAAAACCTAAGAGACAAAGCCTAGGCGGGGAGTTCAAGCACTAGTGAGTAAATCTTATCAAAACAACAATAACAAAACCCATAGAAAGTCCCTGAGGCAAGACTGTCTCCTTTCCAAGTCCCCAGGTGCCCTTCCCCCTTGCTCCACCCAGGAAATCCGTCAGTCTTTTGTCCTGTCTCCTTTCTCTCCTTGGTGCCTCCAGCCCCTCCTCTGCAACCACCACTCCCCTTCTTAAGTCCTCAAATTCCTGTGCTAACCTAAGCTGTGTCTTCTCACACCACATGTGAAGTGAGTGGCCAAGTCCCATCAGGAGCGCCCTCAGTCCTCTCTGAAAGGCAAAACCTGCCATCGGAGATGCTCAGGTCTCTGCTTTGTCCCTAACAGTCTGGGTGTCAGTGGGCAGGTTGCTTCTTATTTCCCAATTCCTTGTCCTCCAAGAGTGGCAGGTAGACCAGACGGCCCTAGCTGCCCTGCTCTATGCTCTAAAGTACATTGTCATGGCCTCTGTTCTGGAAATTTCCATGTCAGACTGTGGAACTCTTGATCAAATGCATCTGCATGTGTGGATCTATGTGCGACGCAAGAAGGCTGCTCTCTGCACCGAGAGCACAGAACAGAATCTGGTAACTCAGCCTCTCTGGGAATCATCATCCCTCTGAAAGCTGTTGAAAGTATCGCTGCTTTTTTTTTTTTTTTTCTGTCTTGTGCTGGTCCTGGGGCTTGAACTCAGGGTCTGAGCACTGTCTCTTAGCTTTTTTTGCTCAAGGCTGGTACTCTGCCACTTGAGTCACAGCTCCATTTCTGGTTTTTTAGTAGTTAGTTGGTAGTTAGTAGTAGAGTTTCATGGCCTTTCCTGCCAGGGTTGGCTTCAAACCTCAATTTTTTTTTCTTTTTAATCAGTTGTGGGGCTTGAACTCAGGGCCTGGGTGCTGCCCCGAGTTTTTTTGCTCAAGGCTAGTGCTCTACCACTTTGAACCACAGCCCTACGTCTGGTTTTCTGGTGGTTTATTGGAGATAAGAATTTCACAGACTTTCCTACCTGGGCTGGCTTTGAACCTCGATCCTCAGATATCAGCTTCCCAAATAGCTAGGATTACAGGCATGAGCCACCAGCACGTGGCCGGAACTGTTTTAGATCTTAGCCATGGGCTGACATGACTTAGCACTGAGCTCACAGCCCCAGCTGAACTTAGTGGTTATACATGGGGCTTTGGAATTAGGTAATTTGGCTTTGAAACTGGACTTTGTCCATCAGGAATCAAGGACATTGCGAAGTTACTTGACCCTCCTTAAGCCTCAGTTTCCTCATCTGAACACAGTGGAGGACAATGATAGTAATTGCCTAAATGAATTCTTCTGTGGTGGGAGATTGGACTCAGGGCTTGGCACATGCTCTAAGCCATGCTCCTAGGCCCAATTCTTTTTTTTTTTTTTTGTCAGTCATGGTGCTTGAACTCTGGGCCTGAGTACTGTCCCTTAGCTTTTCAGCTCAAGGCTAACGCTCTACCACTTGGGCCACAGCACTACTTCTGGTTTTCTGGTGGTTTATTGGAGATAAGAGTTTCCCGGGTTGGCTTTGAACCGCCGTCCTCAGATCTCAGCCTCCTGAGTAGCTAGGATTACAGGCGTGAGCCACTGGCACTTAGCCCTACACCCACTTCTTGAAGGATTCAAATGCACAATATCCATAAAGTATTTAGAATAAAAATAATCTAGTAGATGATGGTTTGTATTTGGAAATGGCCTAAGAGAGGAAGGAGGGCAGACACAAACTCCTGTTCCCATGTGTCCAGTACATCAGTGGACACCTTCCCTGCCTGAGTGTGAATGCTTCATATCCAGCATGTAAGCTCTGGTCCCATCCCGCCCCCCCCCCCCCCCGCCCCCCACACACACACCTAAAAGAAAGGGAGGATCCATGAGCTGACAGAGGCCGGGAGATGAGCTGGGAGTGAACACTAAGCATGCTGTCCCAGCACCTCTGCTGGGGTGGTTCGTGTGTGTGTGTGTGTGTGTGTGTGTGTGTGTGTGTGTGTGCGTGCACGTGTGTGTGTGTGTGTGTGTGTGTGTGTGTATGTGTGTGCTTCTAGGAGGAAGTGTGAAATAAACCTTCTGACAGTTTTGAGATGGAGGGAGAGAAGGAGGGGGGATGGTGTTTTTGCCCAAGCCTGAAAGCTGTTCCCCTGCCAAGAGAGGAGTCCGAGCCTCACAAAGGACACTTGGTGGCAGTTGAGAATAAGCTGGGGATTGTGTTCTGTGTTTGGACGGCAGCAGAGATGGAGCGCGCACCCCTTGATAGCTCCCAACGTCCTCCTTTCAGGCTCTTGGACATGCTCTTTCCTGTGCCCAGCCACTTCCTCTTGGCTCACAGGGTGACTTTCCTCTGTGCCGGATGAATAGTGTGTGGGGATGGTGGGCACCGGTTGCTGGGGTGGGGGTTGCTCCCCACATGCTGGGCCCTGGGCTGCTCCGGACAGGACAAGGAGAGAAGGGTGGAAACAGAGAGACAGCTGCTAGATAGGTAAGTAGGTTGATCGATCAATCGATCGATCAATAGATAGATAAATGAGTGTGTGCTGTGTCCCCAAGATCATCCCCTCATGGTTGCATATGGGGGGTTTCAGGAAATAGAAGTTGCTTAAAAAACCCAGACCTCCTGTATCTCTCTCTGCCCTGGTTCTTGCTTAGAGTCAATTCTCCAGTTTGTCGGGGAGCACTGGGGCTGAGGGAGGCAGACCATACATTCCCAGGCCAAGAGATGGAAAGATGCAGGTGAGGGCCTGAACCTCAGTTTTACAGGGGTTTTGATCTTGAGCAAATCCGCGTTTCCTGCCTGGGCTTCCATCTCTTCTTTAGTAATATGGTTGGCTGAGGGTTGATATGTTAGCTGGGTGCAGGTGGCTCACGCCTGTAATCCTAGCTACTCAAGAGGGTGAGATCTGAATATTGTGGTTTCCTGTTAGCCCAGGCAGGAAAGTCTATGAGACTTTTAACTCCAATTAACTGCCTAAAAGCCAGAAATGGAACTGTGGCTCAAGTGGTAGAGCACCAGACTTGAGCAAAAATCTTTAAGACACAGTGCCCAGTCCCTGAGTTCCAGTCCCAGTAATGACACGTGCATACACACACACACAGACACACAGACACACACACATCCCTACCTGATGGGTAGAAAATGGTTGTGACTGTTACCATTGCTATGACGCAGTTCACGGTCTGTCACGCCAGACACCAGGGCTTCTTCCCTTTTCCCCTTCTCTTCTCACCACCTGCTTCATGTTCTTCCCACCCATGCCCACAGGTCTCCTCCCTGGGAGTCACCACCTTTAGCCTCTGTGCCCTGGGGATCGACCGCTTCCACGTGGCCACCAGCACCCTGCCCAAGGTGAGGCCCATTGAGCGGTGCCAGTCCATCCTGGCCAAGCTGGCGGTCATCTGGGTGGGCTCCATGACGCTGGCTGTGCCTGAGCTCCTGCTGTGGCAGCTGGCACAGGAGCCAGCCCCCACCACAGGCACCGTGGACTCGTGTGTCATGAAACCCTCAGCCAGCCTGCCGGAGTCGCTCTACTCCTTGGTGATGACCTACCAGAACGCCCGCATGTGGTGGTACTTCGGCTGCTACTTCTGCCTGCCCATCCTCTTCACCGTCACCTGCCAGCTGGTGACATGGCGGGTACGGGGACCTCCGGGCAGCAAGCCCAAGTGCCGGGTGGGCAAGCACGAGCAGTGTGAGAGTCAGCTCAACAGCACGGTGGTGGGCCTCACGGTGGTCTATGCCCTGTGCACCCTGCCGGAGAACGTGTGCAACATCGTGGTGGCGTACCTCTCCACCGAGCTCACGCGCCACACGCTGGACCTGCTGGGCCTCATCAACCAGTTCTCCACCTTCTTCAAGGGCGCCATCACCCCCGTGCTGCTGCTGTGCGTGTGCAGGCCGCTGGGCCAGGCCTTCCTGGATTGCTGCTGCTGCTGCTGCTGCCCGGAGTGCGGCGGGGCCTCCGACGGCTTGCCCACCGACGGCTCGGACAACAAGCTCAAGAGCGAAGTGTCCTCCTCCATCTACTTCCATAAGCCCAGGGAGTCACCCCCGCTCCTGCCCCTGGGCACGCCTTGCTGAGGCCAGGCCCGAGCAAGGGGCCCTGGGGGAGGGGGAAGAGGGGTGCGCAGGAGCGGGGGGGGGGGGGTGGACAGTGGGGGGGCTCAACCCAGCCTGAGCCAGTGTCTGCTGATTCTTTCCCCGTAGATCTTGCTTTTGCTACCTGCCTTGCTGCGTAGACATGGATTTGGCTCTTTGTGGGGGAAGGCTTGGGGTAGCCAAGGCGTGCTTCCGGAGCCAGGCCTCTCGAGGTATTCCGAGGGCCTTTCCATGGGTGGGTGATGAGCCGCCGGGTCTCATCAGCTGGGAGTCAAGCCTTCGCCTGCCCTCTCTGGGTGCAGGTCTGCTTCCTTCTCTTGCCCTTGGAACATGAAACATCTCCCCCCTGCCCAGGCCCCATCCTAGGGCTCCTTGGGACTACCCAACCAGGCTTGGTACTCTCTTGTCTGGACTAGCTCTATTCCTGGATGCTTCCCTCCACCCTTTTTTTTTTTTCTGGAAGGTTCCTCTCTTCCCCTTTCTCTGAGTCTCCCAAGCTGCCCTGTCCAGCCCCCCTTGTTAGGTGCTTTCCTATAGAAGGCCCCTCTTGAAAAACAATAAACTAGGTAGAACTACCCCTGTGCCAAGCTCACTTTCTTAGGCCATTGCCTGGCAGTGCCCAGATGCCCTCCCAGGGCTGGGCACTGATTTGGGGCAGCCTTTGGCTCCGGCCTATGGGCTGCTGGCCCATCCCAGTACCGCAAGGGCATTATAGCTTCTGGAGGACACAGAGGAGGGAGGGCTGGGGAGCTGGGGGACTGCAACCCAGCCGCCACTGGGAGTTGAAAAGGCTGCCATCATCATATCCCTTCCAAAGCCCACACCTTCAACCCACTTCCTCTCCACAAAGCCCTCATTCCCAGCCGCCTTCCTTGTGTGAGCCAGGGGGCTTCCTGGCCTCTCTTATCTGACAACACCTCTTGTCTCATTTCTTAGAAGGGACTGTTGGGCCCGTAGTTAGTTGCCCAGCTGCCTGCCCCCATCCCGCCCACCCTTCCTACCCGGGCTCCGCCCACGTCCCCAGCAGACCCCCGCAGCTCCCCCTGCTGGCCACTGCCCACCAACCCTTCCCCAGCTTCAACTCTCTGCCCTTGGAAAGGGCCCCTGAGCCCTGTGGGGGCCCCACAAAGCTGGCAGGACATCAACCAGAAGTGATGCTCAGCCCTGGCCACCAGTACTGTCTCAAGGCCCAGCTAGAACCATCTAGAACAACCATCAGCAAGGGGCCCCAGGGATTCGGAATGGCAGGGGCTCCATTCTCCTCTGTCCAGCCAGCCACCCACACCCCTCGGCCTCAGCCTGCCCAGTGGCCCAGTCACCCCCCACCCCCCACCCAAGGATCTTAACAGCCTTGTTCTCTCTCCCTGGCACCCACCCGGGGTCAGTGACGCCGCCAAGAGAGAGGGAGGCCGTTGCTAGGTGATAGCAGTGCCATGTGCACCCCTTTGTATGGGGAATGGCACCCACCATTTCTTGGCAGACCTGTTGCCACAGAGACCGAAGCCCCCAGCTTTGTCTGTAGGAACTTCAGCTGGGAGAGGAGGCCAAAGGCAGGCTTGCCCTCCCCCATTCCCAGTCCTTTCCTCACCAATGGCAGAAGGGGGCCGGGTGGACCAAGGTGAAGTCTGGGAGAGGGAGAGGGTGGAGGATGGAAGGCTCAAGGGCGGAGGGACACCTCAGCATCTGTTTGGGGGCCTCTTCCCCAAAGGGCACCCTCTGCCCCTCCCTCCTGCTGCTCAGTCAGCTGGGAGCTACAGGGGGAGGTGGTGGCTCCGTGGCCTGTTCCTCCCTCCCCCCCCCCACCTCTCCCCCAGGCCTGCCAACGTGAAGGGCTTGCAGAATTGCGCAGCAGGCCAGCAGCCTTGGGAAAGAGCCACTGTTCATGCAGCCCGGCCAGCAGGGACACAATGTGGTGTTTGTTACGCAGGGGTCCAAGGCTTGCAGGGGTCGGGGGTGGGGGGTGGGGGAAGGCTGGCTGGGGGGGGGTGGTGGTGGTGGTGGAAGGCGGACACTCTGTCAGAGGCAGACTGCAGGGGGCCAGCCAGCAGATTCCATGTCAGGGGAGGGGGTGGACAGGGAGGGGAGGGGTCCTCTGACCAAGGGAAAATCTCCTCATTCCAGCTGAGCTCTATCGGTTAACCTGGGATCACACCTTCACCTCAGTCTCAGCTTCCCAATCAGTGAACCGGAAGTAATCCCTCCCACTGAGAACAAGTCATCCAATGAGACAAGATGAGTCCATCAGCTGGCATCGTGCCCGTCACCTTCCCTCTGGGAATTCAAATCCCTAGTACCATGGAGTAGGCATGGCCAGGGTATTCTTACTGTTTCAACACCAAAAGGCCCCAAACAAAGCCAGGTGCCAGTGGCACACCTGTAATCCCCGCTACTCAGAGCCTGAGATCTGAGGATCATGGTTTGAAACCAGCCTGGACAGGAAAGTCCATGAGACTTCATGGGGATTGAACTCAGGGCTAGGCGCTGTCCCTGTGTTTTTTTGTTCAAGGCTAGTGCTCTACCACTTTGAGCTACAGCACCACTTCTGGTTTTCTAGTGGTAAACTGGAGAAAAGAGTCTCATGGACTTTCCTGCCTGGGATGGCTTCGAACACTGATCTTCAGATCTCAGCCTCCTGAGTAGCCAGGGTTACAAGTGTGAGTCACCCACACCCAGCCATAAGACTCTTCTCTCCAATTAAACACTAAAAAGTTGGAAGTAGAGCTGTGGCTCCACTTCCAGGGAGGGGCAGGAGAGCAAGCTGGGCTGTCTTCAGCCTCCTCCACTAGATGAAGGTACTGAGACCATTGTGGAATTTCGGCCAGTCTTCCTTTTCATTTATTTTTTTTTTGTGGAGGTTCTGGGATTAAACTCAGGCCCTGACACATCCTACATAACCAAGCTACATCCCTAGCCCCTTCCCTCAGACAGGCTGGGCATTTCTCTGCTGGCTGGCTGGGGCCTCCAAGGAAGAGGCCTCTGCACGGGTGGAGGCTCAGGCTCAGGGAGGCCCAGGGCCTCACTCACAAGTAAGGCTCTGTCTCCCTTCAATGGCAGAGGACAGAAGGGATGAGAGGTTCTGCAGGCAGGACCCGCTCCACTTTCCAGGGAGAAGAGGAGGCTGCGGAGGGGCCGAGAGGGAGGCTGCGCTTACTATAAAAGTGGGTCAAGATGGCCTCAGATGGGAGCAAGCCTGGCAGCTGAGGATCCAGGTGGGGGTCCAGCTGGACAGTTGGGGAGGAGCTCTGGTCAGATTGACACCAGCAGGCCACAGGGGCAGTAAAGACCCTGGGCTTGGCAGGCCAGGCTAGGTGTAGAGGCCTCTTCACCGATGGGGAGCAGAGCTGAGGAAGTGGGGGTAGTTCTGGCTGTAAAGGAGGTGCAGGGTCTGGAGGAGAGGTGCTGAGGGCTGACCTGGCTGTAGGGCTGGCTCAGTCATAGCCTAGCGGTGTCCAGCCCTGACCTCCTTGCTACCATGTCCTTCCTCCACAAGACCTGCGGAGGCCAGGCGCCAGTGGCTCACGCCTGAAATCCTAGCTACTCACAAGGCTGAGATCTGAGGACCACAGTTCAAAGCCAGCCTGGGCAAGAAAGTCCATGAGACTCTTATCTCCAATAAACCACCGGAAAACTGGAAGCGGCGCTGTGGCTCAAGTGGCAGAGCACTCGCTTTAGCTGAAGAGCTGAGAGACAGCGCCCAGGCCCAGAGTTCAAGCCCCATAACAGACAAAAAAGAAAAAACAGAAGACCTGCTGAGTATTGCCAGCAGTACTGCCAGCTCAAGCCTGAGGCCTCGTGGGAATGCGCGGAGACCGAAGAGGCCACGCAAAACCCAGACTCACGTATGGGATGTGGTTTCCCAAGGGGCCATTGTGACCAGTATGAACACGTGTCCCCAGCAGACAGGGCTCCCCACTCCAGGAGCCCGGCCAGTCCAGAACCCATGGGAAATGACGGGTGCTACACACGCCCCCAAACACAAAATTGGTCATTTATTGTCGTCATTGTTATTATTAGGAGAAAAAAAAATGTACAGTTACAAGAATCATTTTCCAAACAGAGGTTAAATATGAGCTGAAAAGTGTAAAAAAAGAGGAACGTCACTTTACAAATCATTAAATTAAACCAATGAACAACAAACAACAAAACAGAACCCAAAGAACCAACCCCCCATGCTGAGTTCTCTCCTCGTGGAGCTGTAAAATAGGAACGGAAAATGAGGTGGGCCGTGGAGCTGGGGGCCCCGGGGAGAGGCAGGAGCTGGGGGCCGGGAGCAGGCATGTGTGAGTGGGCACAGGGCAGCGTGGACACCGGCTTCCTGGCCCTTAGGCCTGGCCGTCTGTGGCCTCTGGTGGCCCAGCCAGGACTGGGGGCAGAGAGGGGCACCTGCGGGCTCTCCCACCAGCCTGTGGTGTCCCAGCCTCGCATGGACAAGCCAGACTGAGAGGCAGACACATGGGACGTGGCAGTGGCCACCAGTGCCCACGCTGGGCAGCGCCCTGGGTGCCACCTTCCACCTTCCAAATCTGAACTTGCTCCCAGCCAACCCTCCCTTCTTTTCTGCTCTCCTGACTGCCCTCTCCCAGATCCCGAATGCCAGGCCCCTGCAGCATCAAATGGGTGATTTTAGTCTTTGCTTAAATTAAAAAATTAAAATATATATACATATATATACTGTACACACAGGACGATAACAGTGTTGAAAGGGGAAGCGAGGGCGGGGAGAGCGGGGGGGGGGTAGGGGCTGGGGGGACGGTGTTGGGAGGGGACAGAGGCGGGCCAGGTGGAGGGACACAGAGAGGGGGGGAGGGGACCAGTTAGGGGACCGGGGCAATTTATTTTACAATAAAAACAGGAGTTCAAACCTCAGCAGAATGGGGCTCTGGGAGCCCCGAGGGCCCTCCCCACGCTCAGCGAGGAGGGCGGGCTTGGGGGTGGGGTGGGCGCGGAGGAGGCGGGGAGCTCGGCTTCAGGTTTAGGTGACCTCGGCCCTGGTCCAAGGGGAAGGACCTCGGTCTCAGCTTCTCCGTGACTTTGAGTGTTGAATAAGCCACTGTAGGGTGATGTCTGGGTGGGGACAAAGAGAAGGTTAGGGGCTGGGAAGGTGGCTCGGTGGTAGAGCGCTTGCCTAGCATGCATGAAGCCCTGGGTTTGATTCCTCAGTACCACACAAGCAGAAAAAGCTGGAAGTGGACCAGTGGCCAAGTGGTGGAGAGCTAGCCTTGAGCAAAAGAAGCGCAGGGAGAGCGGCCAGGCTCTGCGTTCCAGCCCCAGGCCTCTCCGTGCAGTGCATGCTGGAGGAGCAGACAAGGGCCTGGAGAGAGGGTGGCGGAAAGCCCAGGTACCGCCAAACTTCAGCAAGCACCCGAATCCTGGAGCATGGCACCCCCCAAACAGCCTTTCCAAGCAGGTGGTGGAGAATCGGGGCACCGGCAGAGGCAGAGCCAAGGGTCACACTCAGAACTCCACCCCCTGGCTGCCTGATGCACACGGAAGGGCCACAGAGCTTTGGGCTATGGGCAAGCAGCCAGTGGAAGCTTCAAGAGCACCAGGCTGAGATAGGGAAGGGTCTTTCTTCTCCCTACAGCCACGCAGCAGTGCCAGCAACTCTACAGTAGACTCACGTACCGATGTTATCCTTCTCTTTGCAGGAGATGGAGTAGCAGCAGATCTCTCGGTCCTGGATGGCAGACAGATTCCTAGTGGGGGGAGACCAAAGAAGTTCTGTGGGAGCTGGGGCTACCAGGGGCCTGGGCCAGAGGTGGGCAGGGTCTTTTTCTGGCTCTAGGGGCTACAATGAGGAGGGCGAGGCGCCTGGAAACTTGTGCTCTGCTGCCACCAGGTGGCTAACACTGAGAACTGCAAGGAGCCCAGCCCTAGAGTCAGGCAGCTGGAAGATGAGGGGAGTAGAAGTACAAAGAAAAATCACCAAACTCACATTTTCTCAATCAGCTCCTTCTCATCCAGTGCTCCCGGGAGGTCCCGCTTGTTCCCCAGGACTAAGACCTGAGAAGGGACGAAGGATGGTTAGATCAGAAGCACTCCAGCAATGCGGCTTCTGCCTAGGCCAGCTGCCAGTGACTTCCGGCCGGCTCCCTTCCTTCCTCCCTCCCTCCCTCCCCATCCCCTGCTGACCGGGATCCCCTGCAGCTGCGGCTTGTCCAGCAGATTGTGAAGCTCATTTTTGGAGGCCTCGATCTTCTCCTGGTCAGCAGCATCCACCATGTATCTGGGAAAGGGAAGCAGGGCCAGCATGTGGACACCAGGGCAAGAAGAGGGCTGCTGCTGGGGCATAACACCTCTGTTGCCAAACCAGTCACCCCTGTAGCTAAGGGCACCCTGGGCCTGCTCAGGGAATGCTTTCTGAATCTATGGCCATGGCGTAAAGCGGCAGGCGGTCCTGAGGGTGCCCTTGTCCTGTCCTCTGGGGAAAGCTGGGGCCTTCAGGTCTCACCCAGTGCACCTGCTTGTGCTTTCCAGTTAAGTCTGATTAGAGCAGAAAAAGCAAGGGAACCTCTCATGGTTTTCTTGCAACAAGATGCATTACTTTTAAATGTTTTAAAACCATCTATTGTTTAGTCTATCAAGAAAACTAAACAATCTATTGTTTGGGAATGCATTGTTTTTGTTTTTCTCTTTTGTTTGTGATGCTGGAGATTGAATCTAGAGCATCACTGGTGCTAGGCAAGAAGAGCTCTACCACTGAATTCCCAGCACCCCCCAAAACATTCAGGTCCCCCCCCCCCCCCCTCAGTCCTGGGGCTTGAACTGTCTTTGAGCTCTTTTGCTCAAGGCTAGCACTCTACCACTTTGAGCCACAGCAGCAATTCTGGTTTTCTGGTGGTTAACTGGAGATAAGAGTCTCATAGACTTTCCTCCTCTGATTGGTTTTGAACCATGATCCTCAGATCTCAGCCTCCTGAGTAGCTAGGATTACAGGCATGAGCTGCCAGCACCTGGCTTGTTTATCATTTCTTAGAGACTGTCTTGAGGTTTTTCTTGGGGCTGGTGTGGATCTTCCTACTTATTCCTGTTTTGTGGCTGGGTCTACAGATGCATATCACCACACCCAGTTTTTTGGCCGAGTCTTAAACAGATCCTCCCATCTCTTCCTCCTGAGTAGCTGGAATGATAGGTATGCACCACAACATTTGGCTGATGAAAAATTGTTTTTGGTTGTAATGGTGTTTACTTGAGCCATACTTCCAGCCCTTTTTCTCTGGTTAGTTGTGAGATCCTTTCAGCTTTTCCTTGGGCTAGCCAGAACAGTGACCCTCTTACTATGCTTCCCACTGTCGCCGAGGGGACAGGCGCATATCACGATGTCCAGTTTCTCTGAGATGGAATTCTCGTTTGTTTTTGCCTTGAATAAGATCCTCCCAATGTCCATCTCCTGGGTAGCGAGGATTACTGGTGTGTTGTGAGCTACCTATGTCCTGCTAATTTTTTTTTATTGTTGTTGTTTGTTGGTCATGGGGCTTGAACTCAGGGCCTAGGTACTGCCCCTGAGCTTTTGTGCTCAAGGCTAGCGCTCTACCACCACTTTGAGCCACAGCGCCACTTCCAGTTTTCTGGTGGTTAATTGGAGGTAAGAGTCTCACGGACTTCCCTGCCCAGGCTGGTTTTGAACTATGATCCTCAGATCTCAGCCTCCTGAGTCGCTACAATTAAAGGTGGAAGCCACTGGTGCCCAGCATAAAGGTTATTTTTAACCATCATTTAAACCACGCAAAATCTAAGACACAGTGGTCTGCGCTGGGGAGACAAGGAGACAATGAGGAAGTGCCCTGCGCAGCCTTGGCTGGTTGAGGCCAGGATCTTAGATTAGGAGACAGGGGCCATTTATGCGAAACACACTGCCAGATGGAGGTCAGAAGCGGGCAGGGGGATGTCTAAGGTGATGGTGTGTCCAGCCTGAGGTGCTGGCTGGGGAAGCCAGGGAGAGGAAGATGCTGGGGAGAGGGGTGCCCCATACTCACACAATGGCACTCACTCCTCGGCAGTAGCGTTCCCACATGCTGCGGAATCGGGGCTGTCCCCCAATGTCCCAAAGCTGAACAAGAGGAGACAGAGCCTCAGGACAGGCAGGCAACCCAGCCCCCCCCTGCCCCTCCCCTCCCCTCCGGCCCCCTCGTCTCCCCGCTCTCCTCCCAGCCCCTCACCTTGATGGTCACGTTCCCTTTGGTGATTTTGCGCATGTTGAACCCCACGGTGGGGATCATGTCCTCGTTGAACTGCCCTGACTGCAAAGAAGAAGCACAAGTGGAAAATGCGCAGACACTGGCACCACCCGTGTGTCTTTCCTGACGGGGGGGGGGGGGGGGGGGGAACCACAGGGAAAATGCAGGGGGTCAGGCTCTCTCTGATCCCTGCTTCCCATGGGGTATGTGTGTATGTGTGTGTTTGTGTGTGTGTGTGCAAGCGCATGTGCTTGTGTGTGTCTGGGGCCATCCTGAATGTCCCTCACTTCCAGGCAGGATGCTGTCTGCTGCATCTGGCTTCTCCTAGGAAGAGGCTCATCTTCTTCAAGCAATGTCACAAGCTCTCAACCTCAACTGGGAGAAAGTTCTTCCTGAAGTCTAACCTACAGTGCTATTAAGTAAAGGATCTTTGCTGTAGTCAGTCTTGGGTAGAGGAGAATATATTATCTTCCAGGGAAAGGACCTCAAATAGGTCATAGTCTAACGTTCAAGAGGCATGGTAAGAAAGCTGACATTATTTTCAAGTCAGTGGTAAATATTAAAGTAAAAAATCCGGGGTGGGTGGGTAATCAGGTTGTAGCTCAGTGGTAGAGGACTTGCCTAGAGTGGTACAAAGTCCTGTAATAATCTACAGTATGTTTGTTTGTACTGGGGCTTGAACTCTGGGCCTGGGAGCTGTCCCTGAGCTCTTCAGCTCAAGGGAGAGCACTCTACCACTTGAGCCACAGTGCTACTTCCTGGTTTCTGATGGTTAGAGACAAGAGTCTCATGGACTTTCCTGCCCAGGCTGGCTTTGAACCCTGATCCTCAGATCTCAGCCTCCTGAATAGTTAGGATTACTGGTACCAGTCACCAGTGGCCATCGAGCTTTTTTTTCCTTTTTTTCCCTGAAGGCCAGCACTGCCCTGAAGGCCAGCACTCTACTACTTGAGCCACAGCTCTACTTCTAGTTTTTTGCTGGTTAATTGGAGATCAGATCTCATGGACTTTCCTGCCTGGGCTGGCTTCAAATCTCCATCCTCTGATCTCAGCCTCCTGAGTAGCTAGGATTAGAGGTGTGAGCCCCTGCACCCCCCCCCCCCCCCCGCTTCCACAGTTTTTTTTTTAATGTGTGTGTGTATGTCTCCCCACTAGACAGAGTGCTTCTTCAGCTTCTAATAAATGTTTTCTGAATACTTGGGAGTTGAGTGTAATTCCATTTCCTATAACCTATTTTTAAAATCTAGCGATTTTCACTTCTCCTCTCACAACTGTCTTCAGAAGTGTCACGGGCGTCAGAGAAGGCCAGACAGACTCCTTCCCAGAGCCTCACCTGGCTCACATGTGCATGGGCGTGTGTGGGTCACCCCTGCTCACGCAGGCGGGCACAGACTGGAGCCCGCTTAACCTTCACCCTGCGGGTGGCCGCCCTGTTCCTTCAGTGGGTTCTTGGAAGTCTGATCCAGTACAACACTGTGCTGGAATATGGGACACCTGTTCACCCAGTCCCGGGGCCACGGGGACGGAGACCCACTCTGATGCCTAGTGATGAGTGGAGCATGGGTTCCTAGCCTGAGGCCCAGAGGTGGGCTTCAGAGGCCCCAAGTCTCCTGAGATTGCACATGACTTGTGTGTGTAAAGGCTGTGTCAGGACGGACATCCCTTGCTATTATGGAACTTGGTCCCAGGACCCCCTGCAGGTACCAAATCCGTGGATGCCCAAATCCCTTTATAAAATGGCATACTGTATTAAGAGTTTTTATGTACAACTTTTTTTTTGGTCGGTTGTGGGGCTTGAACTCTGGGCTTGGGCGCTGTCCCTCAGCTCTTCAGCTCAAGGTGAGCGCTCTACCACTTGAACTACAGCACCACTTCCTATGTACAACTTTTTAAGTGTACAAATAAAAATGATGCTTTTTTTAAAAAAAAAAAATGGCATACTGTTTGCCAATAATTCATATACATCTTCCCTGTGGACTTTCTTTTCTCTCCCCTGCCCCGTCTCTCTGTCTCTCCTCTCTTTTTGGTCAGTCATGGGGCTTGAACTCAGGGCTGGGTGCTGTCCTGCTTTTGTTGCTCAAGACTAGTGCTCTACCACTTTGAGCCACAGCTCCACTTCTGGTTTTTTTTTTTTTTTTTCCTGGTGGTTAATTGGAGATAAGCATCTCATAGACTCTGTATATCACCTTGACAATAAAATTAAATAAAATAAAAAAGAGTCTCATAGACTTTCCTGCCTGGGCTGGTTTTTGAACCTTGACCCTAAAATCTCAGCATCCTGACTAGCTGGGATTCAGACATGAGCCACTAGTGCCCAGAGTCCCCCTGTGGAATCCAGGCTGGCCTGAAACTCATGCTGAGCCTCCTGGAGCCGGATACCAGGCAGGTGCCTTGCAGGCCTTTGAGTCAGCTGTGATTACTTACGATGCCAAACAACTCAAACATGATGCAAACACTTGTTTCACAGTTTAGGGAATAATGACAAGGAAAAATATGTACCAGAAAAAATTTTTTTCTGCAAAAAAAAAAAAAAAAATATATATATATATATGTATATATATATATATATTTTTTTTGGTATCTAAGCTCTATTATTTTGTCTAGGCTGGCCTACGACTCCTGGATTCAAGCAATCTTTTTTTTGTTTGTTATTTTTGTTGTTGTTTGGTCGGTCGTGGGGCCTAAACTCTGGGCCTGGGCGCTGTCCCTCAGCTCTTCAGCTCAAGGCTAGCGCTCTACCGCTTGAGCCACAGCACCACTTCTGGTTTTCTAGTGGTTTATTGGAGACAAGAGTCTCACACTTTTCTCGCCTGGGCTGGCTTTGAACCTCGACCCTCAGATGTCAGCCTCCTGAGAAGCTAGGATTTCAGGCGTCAGCCACTGGCGCCTAGCTTGGTGTGTGAGTGTGTGTGTTTTCCCAAGGCTAGCCCTCTACTACTTGAGCCACAGTATCACTTCTGGCTTTTTCTGAGTAGATTATTGGAGAAAAAAGTCTCATGGACTTTCCTACCTGGGCTGGCTTGAAAAACAATCAAATCTCAGCCTCCTGAGTAGCTAGGATTACAGGCGTGAGCCACTAGTGCCAGCTTTCTTTTTTTTTTTTAATTTTTAATTTTTTGTCGGTCATGGGGCCTGAACTCTGGGCCTGGGCGCTGTCCCTCAGCTCTTCAGCTCAAGGCAAGCACTCCACCACTTGAGCCACAGCTCCACCTCTGGTTTTTTTCTGCTTATGTGGTGCTGAGGAATCAAACCCAGGGCCTCATGCATGCAAGGCAGGCACTCTACCACTGAGCCACCTTCCCAGCCTCTTTTTTAAAAATTAGCATATATTCCTTATATAGGGAGAGTTCCATTGTGACATTTCCACACATGTGGAAAATCCACCCTGATCAATCTCACCTTTCTCTCTCCCATTCTTCTTCCTCCTTCTTAAAATTTCGTGTGTGCACGCGCACGCGCATGCACACTGCTTCTTTGGCTCAAGGCTAGCATTCTACCATTTGAACCACAGCTCCACTTCTGGCTTTTTTGGGAGATAAAGAGTCTCATGACTTTCTTACCTGGGCTGGCTTCAAATCTCAATCTTCAGATCTCAGCCTCTTTAATAGCTAGGATTACAGGCGAGAGCCACTGGCACTGGGCTCCACAACCCCTTCTTAAAAAACAATCTCAACAGGGTCAGGCTGGGCACCAGTGGCTCACGCCTGTAATCCTAACTACTCAGGAAGCTGAGATCTGAGAATCACTGTTGGAAGCTAGCCCAGGCAGCAAAGTCTGTGAGACTCTTTTATCTCTACTTAACTACCCAAAGCCACAAGAAAAGGTGTGGCTCACGTACCAAAACACCAGTCTTCAGTGGAAATGCTAAGGGACAGTGCCCAGGCCCTGAGTTCAAGCCCCACACCTGATTAAAAAAAAGAAAAGAAAAAGAAATCTCAACAGGTTTCATTGGTCCATTTTCACATATGTTTCTTTCTGGTCCTTGGAAATGGAGGACTGAGTATCAAGAGTCCCCAACCTTTCTCGGTACCCTCAAAGGAGGAGGGGGTGCTGCACGGAGGGCTGCTTCCCCTGGGCTTAGTTGTGTGGGGGGGGGGAGGGGAGCTTCATGGGTTTGCCACCTACACGCCAGCGGGCCACGGTGCTGCCAGCCCAGGCACCCACTGGAGCCCATCCTCCATCCTCATCGGGTCTGAGGAAGAAGCCCAGGTCTTGCTGGGCACTCGTTGCAGGGGAGCTTGGACGAGACATTCTGCCTGCCCCGGGCCCTGGGGTCCCCTGCTGGAAGTGGGGATACAGTTTTGGTCTCCTAGGAATGGTAACAGGGCTCACGCAATGCTGGGAAATAGTGTGGCTCCAAGCAGGGGCATCCTCTCTGCCCATTGGCACTGAGAAGATGCACAGGCTCCCTTGTAGGACCCTGGGGAAGGGGGTCAGCTGGGGGTCGGGGCTGGGCCCTCAGCCCCAGGACTTCTGCTCCCTGTGGGTGGGGCTAAAGCAGAACCAGACTTCCTGCCCCCAGTGGGTGGAGCTAAAGCAGAGCCAGGTGATGATTGAGTTTCCCTGAGAACACCTTCCTACCCCACAGCCTTCACGGAAGGTGGAAGCAACCTTAAGTGGTCCAGTGCAACCCCTGGTCCATCTCTTCAATCCGCTCTGACCAGTCTTCCTATAGAGATCATTCTGTGTTCCTTACTTCTGTTGGGTACCCCAAAATGACTTCTTTAGTACGACAGTCTTTTATACTTTAATATTTATATTTGTGTGTGTGTGTGTGTGTGTGTGCGCGCGCTAGAGCTTGAACTCATCCTCTTAGCTGTTTTCACTTCTGGCTACTCTACTGGCTTTTTGATGGTTAACTGAAGAATTTTTTGGATTTGTATGCCGGGGCTGGCTTTGAACTGTGATCTTTAGATCTCAGCCTGCCAAGTAGCTTGCATTATAGATGTGAAACAGCAGTACTAGTTTTTTTTTTTGTTATACTTCTTTTTTTTTGTCGGTCGTGGGGCTTGAACTCTGGGCCTGGGCGCTGTCCCTCAGCTCTTCAGCTCAAGGCGAGCGCTCTACCACTTGAGCTACAGCACCACTTCCGGTTTTCTGGTGGTTTACTGGAGATAGGAGTCTCACAGTCTCTCCTGCCCGGGCTGGCTTTGAACTGCGATCCTCAGATCTCAGCCTCCTGAGTAGCTAGGATTACAGGCGTGAGCCACCAGCGCCCGGCTTTTTTGTTATACTTTTAAATATCTGAAAGTGACCTTCTCAATCAACATGGTGATCCATGGGAGGCTAAGGCAGGAATATGGCAAGTTTGAGGTCAGCCTCAGCTACACAGGGACACCCTTTGCAAAAAGAGAAGGAAAGAAGGAAGGGAGGGAGGGAGAGAGGGAAGGAGGAGGGAGAAAGGGGGGGGGAGGAAGGAAGGAAAGGAAAGGCCTTAGGCAAAAACATCTCCCAGGGCTACAAGCATGGCTCAAATGGTAAAAGGCCTACCTAGCAAATTCAAGGCCCTAAATTAAAATCCCAGTGTCATAAAAGAATATTTCCCAGCTTCTCTAGCATCACAATCCTCCCCGAACGTCGGAGCTCAGTGTTAATTTCTTAGAAGCACTGTGAAGTCTTCTTTCCAGTGCACGTGAACCCATTGAGCAACTGAACTCACCAAACTCAGTTCCCATTTACACCCAGACCTCATGGAGTGAGCACAAAAACCCAAGGGAGGGGACTTGAGTGAACAGACAACTTGCTTGAACAGACCAAGGGGATTCAAAAGGCAGTGGTGGTCATGGGAACAGAGCCCCGGGGTCCTGATGCTTTATTTCTGGAAGACTCTACTGTGACTGTGCACCAGGGGGCAGACAGGCCTATGAAGTCGCCTGGGTGGATTGGAGTTACGAACCCAAAGACCACATTTCCAAATGCAGCCCATAAAGGGATGGTTTTCTTGACAAGCCTCTGCAGAGAAGGGTAATGGCTTGCTCTTTTAATGTTTATTATTTATTTGTTTTTTGAATCATTGTCTAATTAACTTTTTGCTCAGGCTGGCCTCCAGCTCACGATCCTCCTGTCCCAACCTCCTTTGGGTGGGGATTACAGGTGTGAACCACCAGGCCCAGCTTGGCTCCACTCTTTTAGGCTGTTCCGGCTGAAGTGGTAAATTTAGTATCAAGAAGAGGGAATCTTTTTTCTAAACATCATAGGAACTTCCTTTCTTTTGCTCTATAACCCAAAGTTGGCCTTGAACTCAGGTTACTCTTGTCCCCCAGCCTGGAGAGCCACCACAACCTGTTTTCACAGATACTCTGGATCCTGGCAAGGGAATTGGGGAGACTTGCCTTTCAGTCCCTAGAATTCAGACCCTACTGGGTACTACTACTGCGGTCTCTGCCCAGGACGGGGAGCTTCAGGGGGGACAGGCGCCAACACCCAGGCTGGGCGGGCGTTGAGAAAACTCCAGAGACATCCCCCAGGCCCAAAGGCGTGGAAGCCGCGCCTGGGAGGCCCGCAGAGCCAGGCGAGAAGTAGACGTGGTTTTTGTTCTAGGAGTCTCCGGCCCTGGGGTGGGGTGGGGGGCAGATCCTGGAATCTGGAGGCCCAGGGGCCCAGGTCGGTTCAGAGACAACATGCCGGAAGATCCTGCCGGGTCGGGTCCGAAGAGGAGCCGGGGAGGCTGGGGCGGGAGGGGGCAGAGGTCCCCCCAATGGATGGCAGAGGAAGAAGCCAGTGCCCGGTCACGTGGCCGCGGAGGACGCCGGCCCTCCGCCCCGGGCCCAGCGCGGGGATGCGGGGCCTGCCCTCCGCATCTCCTCTCCCCGAAGGTCGGCCGGCGGGAGGAACGGGCGGGTGACGGGCCCCAGGCCGGGCCGATCCACCTCGGCAGCATTTTTGGCCACCGTGGCCGCTCACGGCTCTCGGGACGGGGACCCCGGTGCCCGGACAACCGCAGCCCCGGTCCCGAGGCTGCCCGGGCGCCCGCACACACGGTCCGGCCGCGCTCCGACGCGCGGGCCGCAGCCATGACAGCAGCTCAGCTCACCCCCGGGGCGCCGGGCGCCCAGCCGCCCCCACCCCCCGCCTTAACTCCCGCCCCGCCGCGCCGGCCCGCTCCGCCCGCCCTCCAGCCCCGGACCCCGGCCCCGGTGGGCGGCGCCCCCGGCTCAGCCCCCTCGGGCGGGACCTCCGCCGCAACTTCCTCCCGCAGCCCGCCCGCCGCAGGTGCGGCGCAGCGAGCGAGCGAGGCGGGGTGGGTGGCCGCGGCGGGCCGCGGCGGCCCCGGGCCCGCGGGGAGGGACGGGGCCTCGGGCGGGGCCGGGCCGCCGGTCCCGTGACCGCGCGCGCGGAGCGGCCAGGCCCGGCGCTTTCGCCCCGTCATGGCCCCGGCGCGGAGCCCGGGGTCAGTCCCGCCCGGCAGGGGTCCCCCGGAGGTCCGGAGACCCGGGCGGCGTCGCCGGTGCCCGGCACGGCCCCCGGTGTCCTGCCGGCCCCGCCCCAGCCCTGCCCGCCCGACCCGGCGACGGCGGCCGCCACCCGGTCCCCCCGGGCCGCCGTACCAGGCCCCAGGCGCCCGGAGCCGGCTCCGCCCTCGCCCGGCGGCGGCCCCGGCCGACCCCGGCCCGCACCCCGGCCCCGCGCCCCGGCCGTACCGCGATCACGTTGACAAAGGTGGTCTTGCCGGAGTACTGCAGCCCGACCAGCGTGAGCTCCATCTCCTCCTTCCAGAACAAGGCCTTGAACCAGTCCAGCAGCTTGTTGAACAAAGCGATCATGGTCGCAGCCGCCGCCCCGGGCCGGTGCCGGGTCCCCGCCGCCCCTCGCTGCCCCTCGCGCTGCGGCCCCAGCGGCCCCTCCCGGGTGCGGCCGGGTCCCCGCGGCTCGGTGCGGGCGGAGGCTGGAGCGCGGCGGCCGACGACGCCCGCGGGCCCGGGATCCGCTCGCCGATGGGTGTGGCTAGAGCGCCCTCCTCCTCCTCCCCCTCCTCCGCCTTCCCCCTCCCCCCTCCCTTCCCTCCTTCTCCTCCCTCCTCCCTCCTTTTCCTCCCTCCTCCTCCTCCCTCCCCTGCCGCCGCCCTCCTCCCGCAGGGCCCGCGTCCGGCTGCGCCCGCAGCCCGGGGCCGGGAGCCCGCGGCCGGTGGGCGGAGGAGGCCCGGGAGGCCCGGGCTGGCGTCGGGGCACGTGGGGAGCAGGCTCTAATTTTGTTTCCTCCCCGGGCGCGGTGCACCGCGCCCCGATCGCCGCCCAGGGTTTATCTGGTCCCAAAGGTGGGGGCGGAGGTGGGCATCTCCAGGGGGAGGAGGGCTCCCCGGCTCTCCACGGTGCCCCGGGGAGCAGGAAGGCCGGGGCGGGTGGGGGGGGGGGGCTGTTCCCGAACCCTCGCCGGCCAGCCTCCCTGGGTACCGCGTCCCTCGGACCACGCTTGTGGCTTGTCTACTCCATCTTGTTTCGCTGTTACAATCGACCCGGGCCGCTGGTTCAGGAAGCCTTTGTGGGCCCGAATGGACGTCGACGTTTGAACTTGAGGTTGATGTTTGGTAGTGTGGCCCCCGCAGTGAAAGATAAAAATCCTGTGGCAAAGGAAAACAAATGTTGTTTTGCTGGGGGGGAGGTTCTCTGGGAGCAGAACTAATAATAGTGTGTGGTGTGGGGCCTGCAAGATGTCCTCCCCCACCGCCCGTCCCGTCCCCGGCTTCAGTGTACTTGGTTGTGTCTTCAGACTAGCTTTTCACACCGAGTCTATTGTCTTAATATCATCAGCAACACTACCGGTCAATCGCAGAACCAAATAGTTGCCAAAGTGGAAGGATCACCTGGACCAGCTTAATGTCCTGGTTTATTAAGGACCATCTGTTTAGTCTTCACCCTTTATAAAGCCTTCTCTAGCTCCTAGGGTACTGCTATGGCCTTGGATTTGTTTTCATCGAAGGAAATGCTAATCCCCAAGAGGTAGAGCCTTGGGTAGCAGGTGAGGCCACTTTGAATAAGATTAGTGCCCTTTTGGGGTTGGAAGTGTGTGTGTGTGTGGGGGGGGGGGGGCAGAACACAGAGCTCTGCCCTTCCCACTATACCAGGACCCAGAGAGAAGACTCCACCCACAAGCCAGAAAGTGGGCCCAGTCCAGATGGGGGAGTCTGCTGCCATGGTGACCAGGGACTTCTCTGCCATTGGAACTATGGGAAGCCAACTTCTGTTGTTTATACGCCACCTAGCATGTGATATTTTGTTATAGCAACCTTTCCAGGTTAAGGCAAGGCTAAGATAGTACCTCTGGGTCTCACTTTCTAAACTAACTGCAGCCTTCGTTGGCTTCTTGTCCTTGGAAGTAAGTGCAGAAGAGAGGAGCATAGCCCAGGGGTAAAGATTTGCAGCCTGGGGGCTGGGAAGGTGGCTCAGTGGTAGAGCGCTTGCCTTGCATGCATGAGGCCGTGGGTTGGATTCCTCAGCACCACTTAAGCAGAAAAAAAAAAGCCAGAAGTGGTGCTGTGGCTCAAGTGGTAGAGCGCTAGCCTTGAGCTGAAGAGCTGAGGGACAGCGCCCAGGCCCAGAGTTCAGGCCCCACGACCAGACCCCCCCCCCCCCCCAAAAAAAAAAGATGTCAGCCTGCTCAGGCTCTCCAGACTCTTACTCTCTACCAATATAAATGGCTCAGAGGCCTAAGAAGAAGCTGGAAAGGAGGAGTGAGTCAGCTATCCAAGAAGTCTTTATTTTTTCCTCTTGGTTATTTCCTCAGAAGTTGGCCTCTCTGAGCTCTAGGGCTGTGCACTTGCTCCCATCTAGACTGGGTCTGAGCTCAAGGCAGGCTCAGACACTTAACAACCCTTCCTCTTGCTCAGGTGGCACCTATGCAGCCAGCCCCTCTCCCAGGCACTAGGAAGGTGGAGGTACAGGAGTTACAGGCTGTCAGGAACGAGAGGCTCCTTGGTAAGGCCAAGCAGAAGCAGAAAGGTTTTTAACATTAGGTATGGCACTGTGTGTTCTTTCTTTTCTCTCCCCAACCCCTCGCTTTTGGCTGGAGCTAGGCTTGAACTCAGGGGCTTGTGCTCTCCTTTGGCCTCTTTGCTCAAGGCTGGTACTCTACCATTTGATCCCCAGCTCCACTTCTGGCTTTTTGCTGGATAATTGGAAATAAAGAAGAGTCTCTGGGATTTATCTGCCCCATCTGGCTTTGAATTGGGATCTTCAGATCTCAACCTCTTGAGTACTACTCAAGGGTTACAGGAGTGAGCCACCTGTGCCTGGCCAGTACGTCATGTTCTTCAGAGCGATGACAGGAAGAGGGAGGCCAGCTGCTTTTGCAGTTTCCACTGGGAGCTGCTGAGGCTCAGGGTTAGCAGGAATGGCACGTGTGTCCCCAGAGGCAGCCTGCCTTGAGACAGGGCGGGTGGGAGGGCAGGGGGCCGGGGGGCTCAGGGTCTGGCTGTCTTCCTGGGGTGTTAGGTCAGTCCTGAGATGGATCTGAGGCTCCCTGGGAATTGATACGGAGATGGAGGAGGGGGTGCTGGTTCTCCGAAGACGGTGTGAGGCCTGCAGTTCAGTCTGAGCAGTTGGATTGTCTTCATGGAGTTGTCAGAACCCAGCCTTTCTGGACCGAGCCAGGCTGTCCAGGTGTGTTGTGCAGATGCAGGGCAAGGGGGTGGGGACAAGGCTTTCTGAAAACCAGATGCGGGGGCATGGCGGGGGGGGGGGGAGCTCTTTTTCTCTTCTGCTCTCCCCAGGAGCACTTTTTGGGTACCCATGCTATTTCCTGGGCTCATGGAAGCAAAGCAGGGCACACTGGCGCTCCCTGGAGAGCAGCCGGGCTGGGGTGGGGGTGGGGCAGGGACTTTAGGGGGGCAGGAAAGCCCTTCTAGGCCGCCGAATGGCCTTCACACTTCCTTCCTCCAGAGATTTCAGCCTCCAGGCCTGGCTGTATCTGTAATCTTCCTAGGAAGTATGTATGGAAGCAGAGCCACTCCGGTGCTTGCTCCCTTTGGGGGAATCACTCAGCACTCCCAGAAGCATGGAGCAGAGCAGTCGGTGCTAGGATGTGGAGAGGCTGGTGGAGGTCACACCGACTTTCCCCAGCTGTGGCATCTGGCCTGCACCCAGCCAAGCTCTGGGCCCAGGGGCAACACCTGGCTTCCATTCCTGCAGCCAAGCACTTCCTGTCCGTGCACAGACCTGCGCCTCAGCCTGGCCCATGGGCCTGCTCCTATCTGCCGGGACACAGGATGCTCCAGTTCCCCTGCCATCCATCTGGGGCCACAGAGGAGGCCGAGGAATGGTCGAGGTAAAGATTGGGCGGGAGGGGGGCTTGCCCTTTGTCCTTTTGGAGGCAGCTTCCCAGGACTATAAGTCTTTGCTAGTGAAACACCCATGCAGTGGTGCACGCAGCCCATTCCCCAGACCCCCATCCCAGATGAGGGGAGGGTGGCACCTGGGCCTGTGCAGGAGCAAGGGTCAGGGCTTGGGCTCCTGGGGAAGCTGGGATGCATACAGGGCCAAGGTGTGGTGCAGGAACTGGTACTGCTCCGCCGTTTGGATCATTCCTCCCCTGCAAGGAGAAGCTCTGGCTGTGACCTTGGGTAAGTCAGGGAAGGTCAGGCACCTGCTGATGGCCACGCAGACTTCCTCAGCTTCCTTCTGAGGAAGTGCTGGCCTTCTCCTCTCCATACACTCACTCCTTTTCTCCTTCTACTCCTCCTTGCTGCCCCTTGGTTCTCCCTGCAGGAGACCCCGCCCCTCCAGGCTGTCTCTCACGGGGAGGCGCAACGTGGTCTCTCCTTAGGCCTGATTCCTCAGCTTGGGCCAAAAGGGTTCTCAAGCCTCAAGTTTTTATTTTCTCAATAATCCTTTTTGGTGAGGAGGGCGAGGGGAATACTGGATCTTGAACTCAGGGCCAGGGTACTATCCCTTAGCTTTTTCCGCTCAAAGCTGGCGCTGTACCACTTGGGCCACACCTCTATTTCTGTCTTTTTGGTGGCTAATTGGAGAGAAGAGTCTCAAAGACTTTCCTGCTGAGCTGGTGTTGAACTTGGATCCTCAGATCTCAGCCTCCTGAGTAGCGAGGATTAGAGGTGTGAGCCACCGATACCCAACTTCTTGTCAATAATCTTAAAAGTAAAAATAATAACCCTGCACATTTCTATAATTGTGCTCATTTTTCAAACTACTTTTGTATAAGTTCACACATTCCTTCCAACAGCTCGCTGGGGAAGAAAAAAAAAAAATCTCTCTTCATAAAGGAACGAGGGCTAAAGAAATACTCATTATGTAGCCCAAGCTGCCTTCCAACCTGTGATCCTTCTGCCTCAGCCTTTTCAGCACTGGGATTACAGATGTCTTCTGAGCAGGGAATTTGGAAAATAGATGGGAAGTTCAGGGTAAGTCTGGTGTATTTAATTCCAGGTCCCAAGGTAAAACTCCAGATACTCTCTTCTGGGCATTAGTTATCAGTAAAGTACAAAGCTTGTGAGGCAGAAGGGTCCCTCCCTTTCATTGGGTGTCTGAGTGGCAGGCCCTGTGGAGTGGACTCACCTGTCCAGGCGCAGTTGGCACACGATGCCCAGAATGTCCACTTCCCCTCGGGCCTTCAGCTGTTGGCAGCCAATGCGAATGGCGATGAAGCAGCCCGTCCGACCAATCCCTGCACTGGATACAGCCAGAGAGAAGACAGGGCTGTCGCATGAAACCAGGGACTGGGGAGGCAGGGGAGCAGGGAACCTGGGCACCGGGCCCCAGGGAAATAAAGGGGATTTGAGGGGCTTCACTTGTGCAGAGTGCTGGGCTGGGGTAGCATGGATTCTAATGTCCCCCACCAGTCCTGCTGGGCGCATAGGATAGCTGTCTCTCACTAGTCTTACTCTAGGCCCAGTCCCGGTCACTGTCTAGTTTCTGTGGACATTCAGTCTTCAGTTTTCTTTTTGCTTGTCAATCATGGGGCTTGAACTCAGGGCCTGGGTGCTGTCCCTGAGCTTTTGCACTCAAGGCTAGTGCTTTACCACTTGGAGCCACAGTGCCATTTCCAGCTTTCTGGGGGTTAATTGGAGATGAGTCTCACTGACTTTCCTGCCCAGGCTGGCTTCCAACTGTGATCCTCAGGTCTCAGTCTCCTGAGTAGCTAGGATTATGGGCGTGAGCCATCAGCACCTGGCTTACAGTTGTGTCTGATTTTTTTTTTTTAATCTTTTTTTTTTGGTACTGGGGATTGAACCCAGGATGTTGCACTTGCTAGGTAAATGCTTTGCCACTGAGCTACATCCCAGCCCAGACTTTCAGTTTTCTGAGGCAGGGTTTCACTATATAACCCAGGCTGGTCTTCAACTTGAGATCCTCCTACGTCAGCTTCCCGATTAAATGGCCAGGATTACAGGCATGTACTCCTATGCTTACTTTGGTAGATATTTTGATAATCTCTCTTTTTCTGAACAGTCTACAACAATTTCCAGATCCCTGGAGTCCTCCTTATAGACTCTGACTTCCTCTACCGGCACAGCCTCTAGTACCCAGGATCCTCTGCTTCCCACTTCCAACACTGTCCCATGAGTCTCTTCTCTCTGCTCTGTCTTATTTCCTCCCTTCTTCTCCCTCTCTTTCCCTCTCTCCCTCTCTCCCTCTTTCTCTCTCCCTCCCTCTCCCTCTCTTTCTCTCTCTCTCTCTCTCTCCCCCTCTCTCCCTCTCCCTTCCCTCCCCTCTGTCCTTCCTCTTCTGTTTCTTTATTTGAAACCCTCCCCTGTTTGGCAAACCTTATTAAGTGAATAACAGAAGCCATGTATTCAAGTATCACCCTCTCCTTGTACTTTTGGACTTCTTGTTCTGGTTTACTGAGGTTGCTCCCAAGTGGTCTCCTTGTCCTTTGCTCCCCTCCTCATTTTTACTCCATTTTTACTTTAACCCAAGCATTCTGTTTTGTTTTGTTTTGTGTTTTTTTTGTGGGGCTTGAACTTGGGGTCTGGGCTCTGTCCCTGAGCTCTTTCGCTCAAGACTAGCACCCTACCACTTGGAGCCACAGCTCCACTACCAGTTTTCTGGCAGTTAATTGGAGATGAGAGTCTCATGGACTTTTCTACTTGGGCTGGCTTTGAACCATGATCCTCAGATCTTAGCCACCTGAGTAGCTAGGTTTACAGGCATGAGCCATGGTGCCCAGCCAAAGCATTCTTTTAAAATGGTAAGTCTGGGCCCCTGGGTTTTGTCCCTAGCAGATAGAATAAAATAAAAGTTTTATTTTATTATTATTATTTTTGTCAGTTATGGGGCTTTACTCAGGACCTGGGTGCTGTCCCTAAGCAATTTTTGCTCAAGGCTAGCACACTACCACTTTGAGCCACAGTGCCACTTCTGCTTTTCTGGTGGTTTAAATGAAGATAAGAGTCCCATGGACTTTCCTGTCTGGGTTGGCTTTGACCCGCAATCCTCAATGCTCAGCTTCCCGAGTAGCTAGGATTACAGGCATGAGCCACTAGTATCTGTCTAAAACAAAAGTTTTAAATTGCGAATTCAAGATCTTAGCCTCCAAGGCCTTCTTCCTGCAGCCTTCACTCCCCTTCCAGATTCTTCCATCAGGGTCCCCATGTCATGCCCAGGCTCTCTAACCTGACTCCTCCTGCTTTTCTGTTTTCTTCTTTCCTTTACCTCCTTCCCTCCTTCACCTCCCTTTCCTCTTTCTCCCTTTCCCCTCCTTTCTTTCCTCAGTTTCTTCCTACATTCTCTTTGGGTGCTACTAGGCAGGTGTCCTACCATTTGAGCCATGCTCCTAACTCTTTTTTCTGTAGTTCTTTTTCAGCTAGAGTCCCCTGCTTTTTTGTCTAGGGCTGATGTCAAACCATGATCCTCCTGTAGCTAGAATTACAGTCATGAGCCAGTGGCAAGGCACTAGCCTAACAAGTGTGAGGCCCTGAGTTCAAACCCCAGGATTGACAAAGGGAATGCTTGCTGAATGACCTAGAAATTCCTGGAACTGGTCTGACTTAGCGCCTCTGCCCCCTCCTCCCCAAGACACCCAGTGGAAGGGAAGGGGAGAGCGTAGGACCCAGGCTGTGGTCCAGGGCCAAGGGAGGGTCTGCACCTGCAGTGGACCACAATGGGCCCAGCGCTGGCCGCGGACTCTGGGTCTTCTTCCACCTCGGCCACCAGGCGCAGCAGGGGCCCCGCTGATTCTGGGGTCTGATGGTCAGGCCAGGCTGAGAAGAGGACGTGCTTCACTGGCCGCTGCTCCTCCTGGTGCTGGAATGGAGTCAGGAGATCAAGGTCCAGGTGGGGGTGCTGCCCACCTTCCCTGGCGCCCAAGCTGGCCACAGTCACCTTGTGGGGGAGTCTGAGAATAGCCAAGGGGACTCCCCACTCCAAACTCCCAGGATCCTGGGAAGGGGTGAGACCCAAGTTCAAGTCTTGGTTCTAACTAGCACGTCTTCATGCAAGTACTTTAGAATGAGCACAGTGACATCTCATGGGTTCTGTTTTCCAGGGTGCTTGGGAAATAGTGAATTGACAGAGAAAGGCTTGGAGATCTACAACACCGTACACAACCAGCCAGGCCGGCAGTCAGTGACACTGACAGAAAGCAGTTTCGCCTTTCTTCCTCTCTCCCTCCCTTCCTCCTCCTCCTTTCTGTTTTTGTTTTTGGTGCTGGTCCTGGAGCTTGAACTCAGGGCCTGGGCGCTGGGCGCTGTTACTGAGGTTCTTTTGCTCAAGGCTAGGGCTGGACCAATTGAGTCACAGCTACATTTTCAGCTTTTTTTGTGGTTAATTGGATAGAGATAAGAGTGTCATGGACTTTACTGCCCAGGTTGGCTTTGAACCATCATCCTAAAATCTCAGCCTCCTGAGTAGCTAGGATTATAAGCATGGGCTACCAATGGCCTGACTGTTTTTTGTTTTTTTTTTTTCCCTTTCATTATTATTATTTTTTTTTGGGTCCGGTCGTGGGGTCTGAACTCTGGGCCTGGGCACTGTCCCTCAGCTCTTCAGCCCAAGGCTAGCGCTCTACCACTTGAGCCACAGCACCACTTCCGGCTTTTTTCATTTTGCTTATGTGGTGCTGAGGAATCGAACCCAGGGCCTCAGGCATGCAAGGCAAGCGCTCTACCACTGAGCCATCTTCCCAGCCCCCCTTTCATTATTTTTGAGACAGGCTCTTGTTTTGTTGTCCAGGTGGTTCTCAAACTCTATTTTCCTGCTTTAACCTGCTGAGTGTTGGGGTTACAGGCATATGCCATCACACCCAGCTAGAAAGCATTTTTGAAGCCCCTTCGTACGTGTTAACTAAACACTTCTTTTGACCTCCTTTCAGTCCTTCAGTGCATTCCTGCCTCCCTCCTCTCCAGGCCAGCACCCAGCACATTTGGCTGAGTGCCTGAGGCTCTGACCTCTTAAGACTAGAGGCTTCCTAAGGTGTCCACAACTGTAATTCTAGCTGCTGGGGAGGCAGAGACTGGGAGGATTGTGATTTGAGGCCATCCCAGGCCAAAACAACTTAGTGAGCCCCTATCTCGAAGGACAAGTAACCCAAATGTCTCTTTTTATCTGAGTTCTCAAGGTGGCCTGGTGGAGGGAAGAGTGGGGGAGGTAGGAGGGGGGAGGTACCTGGATGACCAGCCGCCGCACAGTGTACTCTGGGTGCTCATTCAGGTCTTGGATGCGAATCTGAAAGGGCCCATAGTTTTCCTCTTGTGTGGGCCAATAGTGGACACATTTCTAGGAGGGAGGGAGCTGGGAGTCAGGAGGGGGAAGGTCTATCAGCTAGAGCAGGGCTGGGCAGCAATGAGGGGTCTGACAACCCCCCCACACCCCCGTGTTCTGCCCCACAGAAGGCCTGGCTTGGTGCTCTCTCTCTCTCCCTTCCATAGTTTTGGCCCCGGGGAGCTGCCCTGGCGCCGACCTCGGGGGGCCTTGCTGACAGGTGTGGGCTGGGGCGGCCTCAGCGCTGTGCAGGGGTGTCCTGTGGGTGGGAGGGGCCCAGCCCTCTCTGGGGTCACGAGGGCAGTGGCTCCCTCGCCTACCTCTTTGCCCTCGCAGAGCTGAGTGAGCATGATGATGAGACGCACTTCTTCCTGCCACACCATCTCCCAGAAGTCCGCCACGGTGTTGGGCATCGGGCCCTGCGTGGCGATGTAGGCCTTTTCCTGCCCATCATAGCCCTGGGGAGGGACGCGTGGGGAGAGACCAGGAGCAGGTGAGAGGGGACTGCTGTCAGCAAACACACACCTGGCACCACACATGCACAACTGCACGCACTAGCCCGGAAGCCACAGGGGGAAGGACGCGGGCGCTGCAGTGAGGAGCATCTGAGTTCAGATCCCTGTTCTGCTGTTCTATGATCAGCACGTTACCCCATCTCTGAGGGTCTCAGTGTTCCACTTTGGGGACTGGGCATAATAATATCTGCCCTGCAGGGAAGTAGTTCGTGTAGGTTCAATTCAATGCAATAGGGCGAGAGTATATACAAACCAAGTGTTCCCTTCCTTCCCGGCTGTTTCAGTACAAAATACCCAAACAATATTCATTATAAATGATTTTTTTTTTTTTTGGTCATGTGGCTTAAACTCAGGGCCTGGGCACTGTCCCAAAGCTTTTTGCTCATAGCTAGCATTCTACCACTTTGAGCTACAGCACCACTTCTGGTGTTTCTGGTGGTTATTTGGAGATGAGGCTCATGGACTCTCCTACCTGGCTTTGAACCATGATTCTCAGATCTCAGCCTCCTGTGTAATTAGGATCACAGGCCTCCAGCACCTGGCCTCAGAATAATTTTTTAATGCATTACAGTTAATATTTAGCAGCAAAATCTCTCTCTCCTTTATCCATCTCTTTTCCTTTCAGGAGCTTCAGCTTCTTGGTAGTATGCAACCTGATGTTTGTCTAGATCCCACAGGCAAGCAAGCAGAAGACCACAATTCTTTCCCCTGGCTAGGAGCTTTTCTCCTCTGCCCACCAGACTGCTGTCGTTTCCACCTTGGTCACTAGAGGGCACTGCTGTTCCATCTACCTAGGGCTAGTGTAGGGGAGAAGTTGGGGTAGAGTCCACTAGTCTTATTAGCTGGACATTAATCAAACCATCTTCACAAAGGAGAGGGTGTATAGGGGAATATGAGAGAGAGAGAGAGTGCGAGCATTTATGCTTGCTTCTCCTATGCAGATCTCAGGACTGATTAACAGCTTGGTTCAGCCATACCGATTGTTTGCCAAGTCTGGAGGGCTGGCATGGGTCGCGTGCTAAGGAGATGTGGTAGTCTCTTCCTTTCAAGAATCTCTAACATCTGCTCTCTTTTCTAGGTTGGCCCCTTGGGGTCTACTCAGCATCCCTCCTGGCTTGGCAGGGCTATAGATGCAGGCAGCCAAAGCAGAGGAAACCAGGACACCTGAGGCACCTGTCACAGCTGGAATACAGCATCTGACACCTTCAAAGGACCCCCTCCCCTGCCCCCTCTCCCCTTCCCCACTGCTGCAGCCAGAACACTCACCCGGATGTAGTTGGCATTGATATAGTCTCCGTCCTCCTGGCTCTGTGCCCGGCCAAGACAGACACGGCTCTGGGGGTCTAGGAAGTAAAGATCCGTGGAGTTCAGAGTGTGACCAACACACACAGACTTTAAATGTGCTCAATGGAGAAAGCATTGAAGTATTTTGTATGTAGATAATAAGGAGACCTAGAATGTTTTTGAGCAAGGGAGAGACATCATCAAAGTAGTTTCTTGGGAAGGTGAACTGGGTGATGTTGTGTAGCCCTAGGTGCCACAGGGCCAGACTGGAAGTTACTGTAACATTGTGCTCTTGAGATCAATACAGAACATGATGGTACCAATAGGAATGGAGAAAGAAAGGTTATAGAGGAATAGCTTTGTGTGTGTGTGTGTGTGTGTGTGTGTGTGTGTGTGTGTGTGTGTGTGTGTGTGTGTGTGTGTGTGTGTGTGTGTGTGTGTGTCCTGGGGCTTGAACTCAGGGACTGGGCACTATCCTTGAGATTTTTTGTTGTTGTTGTTGTTCAAGTGTGTGTGTGTGTGTGTGTGTGTCCTGGGGCTTGAACTCAGGGACTGGGCACTATCCTTGAGATTTTTTGTTGTTGTTGTTGTTCAAGACTAGCATTCTACCACTAGAGCCACAGCTCCACCTCCAGATTTTTTGGTAGTTAATTGGAAATAAGAGTTTCATAGACTTTCTTGCCTAGGCTAGCTTTGAACCACAGTCCAGATCTCAGCCTCCTGAATAGCTAGGATTACAGGTGTGAGCCATCAGTGCCCTGCTCAGTTTTCTTTCTTGTTTTCTTTTTTGTGCTGGCACTGGGGCTTGAACTCAGGGCCTTATATGTGCTCTTACTTGGCTTATGCTGCCCAAAGCTGGTCCTCTACCACTTGAGCCACACCTCCATTTCTGTCTTTTTGCTGGTTAGTTAGAGGTAAGAGTCTCTTGAATTTGTCTGGGCTGGCTATGATAATAATCCTCAGATCTCAGTCCCTTGAGTAGCTAGGATTATAGGATTACAGGCATAAGCCACTGGTGCCCAGCTTTGAAGTCCTTCCTTCCTTCCTTCCTTCCCTCCCTCCTTCCTTCCTTCCCTCTTTTTATTGCCTCCCTCCTCCTGCTCCTTCTCTCTCTCCCTTCTCTCTCTCTCTCTCTCTCTGTCTTTTTCCCTCTCTCCTCCCTTCTTTTTCCCCTCCCCTCCCCTCCCTTCCCCTCTTCCCCAGTGCGGAGGCTTGAACTTAGGGCCTGGGTGCAGTCCCTTAGTGATTTTTGCTCAAAGTTGATGCTTTACCATTTGAGCCACAGCTCTATTTACAACTTTTTTTCTTGTTATTTGGAGATAAGAGTCTCACAGACTTTCCTGTCCAGACTGGCTTCTTCCTGAGTAGCTAGGATTACAGGTAAGTGAGCCACCACTGCCTGCTGGGAAGAGCTTATCTCTGAAGGTGGACACAGTGATAGAGTGAGTGCACTGGAGTTCATGCAGCCCCCCCCCCCCACCCTGTGAGAGGCAGAGGTTTCCCAAAATCAGACCCTAAAAAAGGAGAAGGAGCTGGCTTGTGAGGCTAGAGAATCTTTTTCTTTGGTCGGCTGTGGGGCTTGAACTCAGGGCCTGGGCGCTGTCCCTTAGCTCTTCAGCTCAAGGCCAGCACTCTACCACTTTGAGCCACAGCACCACTTCTGGTTTTCTGGTGGTTAATTGGAGATAAGAGTCTCGTGGACTTTCCTGCCCAGGCTGACTTTGAACCTCGATCCTCAGATCTCACCCTCTTGAGTAGCTAGGATTACAGGTGAGCCACCAGTGCCTGGCTTAAGATGTGAGTCTTGCTGTGGAAAATGAACTTTGCAACTTGTGAGCAGGGACAGGAGGGGAAAACTGGGAGAAATGTACATATTTCCTAAATTGTGAAATGATAACCCCTCTGTACAACACCTTAATAATAACAATGAAATTGTACTTAAAAATGAATAAGAGGGGGGCTGGGAAGGTGGCTCAGTGGTAGAGTGCTTGCCTTGCATGCTCAAGGCCCTGGGTTCGATTCCTCAGCACCACATAAGCAAAAAGAAAAAAGCCGGAAGTGGCGCTGTGGCTCAAGTGGTAGAGCACTAGCCTTGAGCTGAAGAGCTGAGGGACAGTGCCCAGGCCCAGAGTTCAGGCCCCACGACCGGACCCAAAAAAAAAAAAAAATGAATAAGAGGGAAGGAGTGACATTTTCCAAAAAGAAATGTACTCTTTACCTGACTTATGTAACTGAGACCCCTCTGTACCTCTCCTTTATAATAACAATTAAAAATAAATAAGTAAGCCGGGTACTAGTGGCTTATGCCTATCATTCTAGCTATTCAGGAGGCTGAGATCTGAGGATCATGGTTCAAAGCTAACCCTGGGCAGGAAAGCCATGAGACTCTTATCTCCAAAGAACCGCCAGAAAACCAGAAGTGGTGTTATGGCTCAAGTGGTCGAGTGCTTGCCTTGAGCTGAAGAGCTCAGGGACAGTGCCCAGGCCCAAAGTTCAAGCCCCATGGCTAACCAAAAAAAAAAGAAAGAAAGAAAAAAGTAAGTAAGTAAATAATAGAATCAGGCCAAGGCCAAGGGTTAATCAAACCCATAATGCCTGGGTTCACCAGGGCAGGCGGAGGCAGGGAGCTGGTGAGGCAGGGCCTCTGTGCTCTGCTCAGGGCTGGGAGTACAGGCTGGTCGGAAAGGCTGGTCTGTGGGGATATGGGCAGGGCAGCGAGGCTCTGGGGACCTCACGCTTGCCTCTGAACAGTAGGAGGTGCTAGTCCTGTCACCCTGTCACCGGCCCGCGCAGCCCAGCATCTGACCCAGCCCATCCATCACTGCTAACTTGTCAAGGCCCGGCCTCTCTGTGGCTTTCTCTGAGCCCTCGGGAGCCATCTGATGCGCCTCTTCCTCTGCAGGCCTTGGCTGGGTGCTTCCCACATGGGAGGAAGATGAGGAACTGTTTGTGCCACAAGCTGTGTGACCTCGGGTAAGTGACACAACTCTTCTGTGCTTCTATTTTCTCACTTGTAGGAGAATAATAATACTATAGCACCCACTTCCTCAGGACACTAGGATACAGAGCAGCGTGTAGCCCACAGTAAGTATCTCTGAATATCTCATCGCCACCGCTCAGATAGTAGTCACAACCAACCAGGGTGCGGCACTAGTATTTTTCTGCTGAAAGACAGTGGCCCAAGCGCTGTGGTCTCTCCTGGGTGGAATCTGTGCATTTTGCCTTCTGAAGCGCCCTTCTCTAGACACAGTACCCAGCTCCTCAGTTCCCTCCTGCAGCCCTTACTTGGCAAGATGGTCTTGTAGCGGTCCTTGGAGGCATGGCCAGGGATGTCCAGGTCTTCGGAGCTCACGAAGTTTGAGGGGATCTTCTGGCAGGGGGAGACATTAGTGAGCAGCTGGCAGCCTCCCCCAGCGTCCTTTAATCCCCTTGTACACATTTCTCATAGGCCTGGGTCGGGAGACAGCGGGAGGGGAAGGCCTGCCCTGTGCAGCCCCGGGGACTGATGGAGGAGCCCCCCCCCCCCTCACCCCGTCTTTGCCCATGGTGTCTGTGCTGGAACAGGGCCGCTGTCTCTGATGCAGAAGGGCAGAGTGGTCCAGACGAGACCCCAAGTTCTTACCAAGAATTCCTCCTCCAGCTGTTTGGGGCTGGGAGGCTGATGCTGCAGGGCCCAGCTGGTGAGGGGGTGTCCAGCTGTGCGCAGGAAGTGCAGGGTGACCTCTCGGGGCGTGTTCACTGAGCAGATGGGCTCTACGGTACCCAGAGACCGCACATCCAACACCAGAGCCACACTGGAGCCCCGCCTGCAGACACAGCCCCGTGAGCCCAATTGTATTGCGTTTCTTTTCTCCCACGAGCCGTGCCCTGGCTGTCTGGTAACCCAGAGCACCTCTGTGTGCTAGGACAGGACAGCCTGGTGTCCTGCTGTCCTTCTAGCTGCCCACATCTTCCCAGACCCGAGTGAGGTCTGAGGCTCAGACCCACAATCAGCACCAAGAAGGCCCCTGGCCTCACTCCTTACTGGGAGACTTAGAGTGGACACAAAACAGAGTGCTCCTGGATATGCAAATGACATGCAAATAGATCGATTTCCTTTTCAGACTGGGCTCACCTGCCCAAGCTGCAGGGGCCAATGGAAGGAGGGGTGGAGCTGGAGGATCTCACCTCTCCTGCAGCCGCACATGCTTCTTGGCTGGTGCTTTGGGAGGTGGAGGCTGGGTCATGGCTGCCCCCAAAGTCAAGGTGGGTGGTTGTGTTCTGGAGCGGCCCCCCACAGGCCTGGACCATGCTGGGGTAGGGTACTGGGCCCAGCGGACACTCACTCAGCCATGAGGTTCCCCCTGAAAGACAAAGCTCCAGAAAGCTGCTGGCTTCTGGCCTGCATGGTTGGTCAGAAGGAGGTTCCCAAGCTCAGGTTTTTACTGGGGTGTCCCTTGTTCCCCAGGAAGTGGCCTCATTCTCACCCTGAAAAGGGCCAGAGCTCTTTGCTGAGACCCAGGGCGGAGGACAGTCTGGGGTTAGAGCTGGGGCAAGACATGGAAGAGTGAGTTGCACAGGAAGATTGAAATGAGTCCAGGAGGAAGAGAGACAGTGGGGGGGGGACCAAGAACTCAGGAGTCTCAGCTGGGGTCCAGGAGAGAAGGCAAGGGAGGAACGGGGCCTATGCGAACCAGGCAGAGGAAGCGGGGCGCGCCCAGAATCACCTCTAAGTGGACCAGTGGGCCTTCTCCCCAATGAGAAACAGGCCTTGCGGGTATTGAACCCATGGGGGTCTCCCCCACTCCCAGCATATTCTACACTGCTGGTCTCCAAATGAGGGGGGCGATTCATTCCAAGATCACCTCTGGTTTTGGGGGGGTCTCTGTCCAGAGAGGTGGACTGGGGGTGTTTCCTTCCTCCCGCTGCCCATCCCCCGTCTCCCGCCTCTGTAACCGTCACAGGAAATGGCCTCGCCAAACCCTTGAGCGGCAGTGCATGGTGTGGCGACGGCTGGGAGGGCCAGAGGGGGCCATGTCCCCGGGGGCAGGCCTCATCTCCCAGAGCCGGGGTCACCAACCCACGAGGACGGAGGGGGGGTGGGCAGAGTGGCCCGCGCAGGTGTGCGGGGCGAGGAGGGGCTCTGCCACAGGAAGGGCTCTCTCGCCTCCGCTCTCCTTGCCTTCCATGTGCCTTCTCTGCCCTCTAGCCCCTGGGATGCCAGGTGGGCCAGTCCCCATGCCCCAGCCAGACACGCACAGCGCCCCCCTACTCACCCTCTCAACACCTGTCCTTAGCGCCACCCTCCCGTCTCCCAGAGCCCACTCTCCTCCCCCCCCACCCCCAGAGCCACCGAACTCCTGTGCCCACTGCAGGTACTTACTGGAGCAGCTGTGCCCTCCCCAGGCTGTCTCTTGCCAGCTGTCTGTCTGTCCGTCTGTCTTGGAGGGTGAGAAGGCTTCAGGAAGCCAGCTTCCTCCCTCCGCCCCTCCTGGCTTCCACCCACGCACACCACCCCGTCTCGCTGCCCTCCTGCGCCTGCCTCAGCTGCCACCAGGGGTTGGCTGCCTCCTTTTGTGCCCCCTAGGGGCAGGCTGGTGATGCCTCGGTACCCTTGCCAGCTGCCAAAGCCCAGGAATGGGCAAAGTCCTTCTCTGATCATTTCAGGCCCCCCCCCCCCAGCTCCCAGATAATTCTTCTCTCCTGCCATGTTTCTGCTCGAGGGGGGGGGCCCACATCCCGCTGTGCTTACTGGCCAGACCGAGCTCAGCTGACCCCCGGTTCCACGCGAGCCCCTCAGGTGGCTTCTACTTACCCTGACCTCAGCCAGAGACTTCTTCCCCTGCTCTGCTGTGTCCCAGAGCTCTCTGCCTGGAAGCTCTTGCTGCTTTGAGCCTTGGAAATTCAAGGTCAAGGACAGGCACAGCACAGATGGGCCACAGACATGGGGCAGGCGAAGGAAAGTAGGAATCTTTGTTCCCCGTATGGAAAGGCCAGGGGCTAAGCAGGAAGGGGCCCCTGCAGAGCCCGAGCCCCCCTCCAGCTCTCAGCTGTTTGGGCCTGGGCCTGGGCCAGCCACCCGAGAAGAGAAGAAGCAGAACTGACCTAGAGGAGGGTCTGAGGACCTTCTGGGGTTCCCCATCCCCCCCTGGGCTTCCTCCTAGAGCCCTGCATCTCCTCAGAGGACTTACAGGTAGTTGACAAGGCTCCGGCCCTCACCCCAAGGGACTCCTATGTCCTCTTCACTGCTGGGGCGTGTGGATGCTCAGAGCCTAGCAAATGACCCCCCAAATCTAAGACTCCATGGCCTCCCCCATTCCTGTTTGACTTTGGCAGGCCCCTTGCTGGCCCACAGCTCAGCTGGGTCGCAGCTCATGCTGGCTGCACACCTCCATGCACCCTGTAACATCTCAAACACCCTTCCCAGCCGCAAGGCGCGCTCTGCACCCTCCGTCTTCCTCCCACTTCTCCGATTCAACTGTCAGATGGTGACAGCAAGAATAAAAAGATGTGCCGGAGGCACAGGAGTTGGGCACACTGGGGTGGGGGGGAGGTGTGGGGAGGAGGCTGGCCTTCTTCCGGCCCATGGGGGAGGAGGGTGGAGGTGGTGACCCAAGCTGACCCTGAAAGGTCAGAGGCCTCTCAGCCCTGTTCTCTGCAGTCTATGTTCCCCTGGGGAGCGGGTGGGTGGGGGTCCTCGAGCTGGGAAGTGGCTGGCTCCCATGCCAGGATGCTCCTGGGAATCCCTGGTATACTTGTGGGTCATGATTGGACGCTAGGCTCTGCCTTGGTTTCCCCCACTGGGTCAGGCAGAGAGAGCGAAGGCCTGGGATAAAGGGACAAGGAGGGGAATGGGAAGAGGGCCCCTCCCCTGGGCAGCTGTTGGATATGGTCAAGAACAGGAAGCGAGGATAACCACAGGGGAGGGGAGAAGGAAGTGGCACAGCCTTCCCCCACTCGCCTGCCAGTGCCCCCAGCTTTCCATACTCTGAACCCACTATCTGTGAGCACTCCCCTCCCTCCTCCACCCCCCTCCCCGCTGCTCCTAAGTGGGGACCCAGCAGTGGTTCGAGCAGTTAGATGCTGAGATCTTGGGTGGAGCCAAGGGATGGGGAAAGGAATGGGGGGCAGGAGTGGGGGTAATGTTGGAATCAAGCAAGACTCAAGACAGTTCACTTCGGGTGGAAGGAAAGCTGCTTCTGCCTCTTGCCCACCCCCTCTCCCCTTTCTGCCTAGAAATGCCTGGACCTCCGTGCAGGCAAATGGCCAGAGCCTCCACCACAAGCCTCAGATGGGACAAGACACGTGTTCTTGCCCGAGACTTCGTGTCCCCAGGCTGGCTTGGGACGCTGCCTGCTGCTCCCTGATTTCTCTGGAGAAGGCTCTGCCCCATCCTGGAAGCCAAGAGCCTCTGGGAAAGCGCCCCCCACCCCTACCCCATGCAGAATCGTCCCAGACCTGGGGCAGGACCACACCAGAAGCTCCCAGACTTCCATCACTCAATTGATGACTTGTCTTCCTGGGTTATGATTTCCAAGATGGGCATCAGTGGTACATGCCTCTAATCCGAACTTCTCGAGAGGCTGAGACCTGACAATCACAGTTCGAAGTCAGCTTGGGCATGAAAGTCTGTGAGACTCTTATCTCTACTAATGAACCACCAAAAACCTGGAAGTAGAGCTGTGGCTCAAGTGCTAGAGCAGTAGCCTTGAGCAACAAAGCTTAAGGACAGTGCTTAGGCCCTGAGTTCAAGCCCCAATAGAACACACACACACACACACACACACACCCCTACACCTTGGCCCAACACACACACACACACACACACACACACATCCCTACACCTTGGCCAGTCCAAGCTAGCTTCTTCCCAACTTCTATCACCAGGCTTGTCCCTGGCCATGTGGGGGAGACAGAGTTCATGAGAGGAGGAGGAGGTAGATGTGCTTGAACAGGGCAGAAAAGTTCTGGGAGGCCAAAGGGTGGTGGGCTTGGGGTGGCCAGCAAAGGAGGCACAGGGCATGTTCCAGGCTGTCCCTCTGTGCCAGGCATCCTGGGTGCCACCCCCACCCTGACCCCCTTTCCCTCTTGTTACCTCTTGTTTTCTGGCTGCTGGAGGGACTTACCCAAACCCTTCACCCCAGGCTGAGGAGGTGAGTGACTCAGGCCAGCATAGCCTGGGCAGGGCCGGGGGAAGCCAGGGGGTCAGTCAGTCACCTGATCAGGAGCTCCAGGAAAGAGCCTGGTGTTGGCCTGTCAGTGGAACGCAGAACCCTGGTGGGCGGTGTGTAAGGTAAGGCAGCAAAATGGACAGCTCTTCCCACTGTGGCCCTCTCTTCCTTCCCAGTGTGTTGGCCTTGGGCACACACTCAGGCCTCTGTCCATACAGGCAGGTGCAGCCTGATGTCCCTGACTGCTCACAGGTACACACACACACACACACACACACACACACACACACACACACACACACACACACACACACACACACAGCCTGATGTCCCTGACTGCTCACAGGTACACACACACACACACACACACACACACACACACACACACACACACACACACACACACACACACACACACACACACACACACACACACACACACACACACACACACACACCTCTTTCACTAGCCTCTGGATGTCTTCCCAGTGAAACTTCGCCTTTCCCCTTCCCAAGCCACCTCGGTCATGGTGTGGGAGGGAGAGGGGGCGATTTGCGCTGGTGATTATCTCCTGCCTGGTCATTATCTCCCTCCAGCGTGGGGGGCGCCCAAGGCCTGGCTTCAGGCTGTGGGAGAGCAGAGGAGGGGCCGGAAGAGCTGGCCTAGGCCAGCTGCCGGGAGAGGCCCGGCCAGTTCACACTGGGAGTTGGGATGCCTGGACCTGCTCCTGCCTGCCACTGTCTTCACAGCTCTTCGGGAGGAACTGTGGTAAGGTACTTTTGAGACCTCAGGAAGACCCCAGGGGCTCTCTAGGGAGAGGATGTGGGTTTGTCGATGGGTGGCTGTGGGGGAGGAGCTACAGCCTGTGTGGTACTTTTTTTATTGTTATTATTTTTGCTGAATGGAGCGGCCTGGCTGGGGGTTAAGGGTTGCTGGGTATGTGACAGAATTTTCTGGAGCTCCTTTCTCATCCGCAAGGCTGCCCCAACCAGGTGGGGTGGAGGGCGCGGCTAGGCTTTCTATGGTCAATGCATAGGACTAGCTGGGTGGTGTACCCCAACAGGCCTATCTAGTGTGGGGGCTGCCGGAGCCTCTTTCTCCATGCCGCTGCCTGGTGGTGTCTCCTGAGTTTGAGGGCTCCAGCCCCCACTTCTGCTCTCTGTGACTGCTCATGGAGAGTGGAGAAAAACCACAGTGCCGTCCCCAGGTGAGGTGAGGTGGGGAACCCCCAGGGTCCAGAGTAGGGTGTTCCCCTTCCCCACCCCCAAACACATGGCTGGCCTCAAACCTGGCACCCCTCCCCTGTCCTGTCGCGTCCCCTGCTTGTTCGCCTCCCCGCCCCCACGGCCTCTTGCCAGAGAGCGCATGTGTGCATGTGTCCGCACACTCTCTTGCATGCACACACAGCCTGGAAAATCTGATGAGTGTGCACTGCTGAGTTTCCAGGCCCCCATCCAGGCCGGGGTGGGCGGCTCTGAGGTTTGGGGCTGGGTGGAGTGGGGGAGGGGTGGCGGTCCCTGCCACACTGGTGGGTGTCTTGAAGAGGCAGGCCTGGGGGAGTCTGGCAGGGGCCCTTTGGGGGCCCGGCCTTTGGGGCATGGACCTGTCTGTGGCGCACACTTCCTTCCTGAGTTTGCTGGGTCCTGGGCCTCCTTCCCAGGGCTCCTCTCCTCCCACTCGCTCACTTGGTGGGGGAGTTCCTGGGGGAGCAATGGCAGGTGAGCAGCCGGCTCCAGGCAGGAAGAGCCCAGCCTGAACACTGCCTTCTCCTCTGGGCCACGCTCCCGTTTCTGGTGCCTGCAGCCTGGTGGGGGCTGGGAGGGGTCAGGAAGCCAGGTGGGCACTGCTGACCTGGCTGGAGAGAGTGTGCCTGTGGGGTGGGAGGAGGGGCAAGCAACTATTCTAGGATCTTGAATTGTTCCCCTGAAGGTTCCAAGCCGAGAGAAACCCGATTCTGAGCTGAGTGTATGCTTGCCAGTTCTGCCATTTCTATGGCATCAAAGCCACAGGTTCAAATTCAGCTTTTCCCTCAACACATGTGGGACCGCGGGGGAGGGGCTCCGCTCTCGCCTGGATTTCAGCTTCTGTGACTGTGGGGGGAGTAGATGAGACCCAAGGATCAGGCAGGCCCACAAGTGCCTGGCCACCCCCTCAGGCCACAGGAACACACGGACCTCTGGGACCCGAGGGTCTCCTCCTCTTCCCCTACAGAAGACAAACACCGCTTCCGCCATGCACGTGCACTCAGCCCATGGGAGGGGAGTGGTTGCTTCTCACCCCGCCCCCTTTCCACAGTTGGGGGGGAGGCTGGCCCTGTCCACTCTATGTGGCCATCTGCGAAGCCACTGCTCCCTTAGTCTTCCCTAGGGACAAAGGACATTTTGCTCCCTGGAGACCTGCCTGCTGGAAGTGGGATGGGGTGGGACACGGGCAGCCGGGCGGGGAGTGGGGGTGGGGGGTTAGGCTTGTTCTGGGCTTGCAGTACTGTGGTTCCTCTTGTACCTTCTGGGCCTACAGCCCAGACTTTGCTTCTCCTCTCCCCTCTCCAAGCCTTGCCAAGGGTGTGGGCGTGGGGCAGGGTCTGGGGCTGAGAGGCAGCCCCCTTGCTCTTTGCTGTCTGCTAGAAGCTCTGCCCTTCCCACTTCTACCCAAAGCCAGCCAGTGGGGCATCGGGAGGGTTAGGAGGGGGTGTGTGTGGGGGGGAGTATGGCTCCGCCTTCTGCTGCCTCCCGACTTTTCCTCTGCAGACATGATCTGGGTGAGGCCCCCAGCGCTGTTGGCTTGTCTCCTCTGGCTCCAGGGCTTTGTGGCTGAGGTATGATGGGCACGGGGGGGGGGGCATCCCAGGTGGGTGGACCCCTGCTCTCCCAGACATGTTCAGGTCCCCCACCTCTCTCCAGCCGGCCCCACAGCTGGTCTGCATCAGGCAAGAAGGAAGGCCAGTGGCAGAGGACAGAGAGCCGATGGCTCCAGCTGCTAGGATGCCACCGTACTGTGGCTGTGTCTCCAGGAGACATCCCCAGCTGTGCTCTCTGGTTCTAGCCTTGACCCTCCTGGCTCTCCCAGAGGCCTCAGTCCATCTCTCCTCCTCTTCCCTTCCTTCCTGCAGGAAGATGCATGTCACTCCCTGGAAGGGAGCCCAGACCTGGAGGGCGGAGGTAGGTGTCTTCTGTGGGTGGTAGGATGGAATGAGGGGGGGGTCTGGGAGAGGGGCTAGATGGATGCAGGGCTAATTACTCCACACCAGACTCTTTTGGGGGCCCTTCCTTCTTTATCAGGGGCCAAAGGGTATTGGGAGACTCTGCATACACCCCTTTTCTCCAGGGCCACCCCCAAGCATGAACGTGAGCCACCAGGGGGCACCCACCAGCCTGTTTGTGAACTGGACAGCGGCAGAGCCCGGTGGCTTTGGCCATGCCCTCCACCTCCTGCGCCTCAGCCCCCTTGGCTCTCCCGAAGGGCAGCAGCTCCAGGCCTACACCAATGGATCCAGCTTTGAGTTCCACAACCTGGTGCCAGGAAGTCGATACCAGCTAGAAGTGACTGACTTGCATCCCTGTGGACAGAATGCCACTGTCACTCTCACTGTCCGCACAGGTATGAGGACTGAAGGAGGGGGAGATTTGGCTTGGGGTTGGGGCAGTGTAGACAAAGGGGTCAGCCTCTGTGGGGCTGGGTGAGGTGGTTCATGCCTGTAATCCTAGCCACCCAGGAGGCTGAGATCTGACCATCAAGGTGTGAAGCTAGCCCAGGCAGGAAAGTCCATGAGACATCGCCAGTTAACCACCAAAAGGCTGGAAGTGGGGCTGTGGCTCAGGTGGTAGAGTACCAGCCTTGAGTGAAAAACTTACCACCACCAAGGCCCCCAGTTCAAGCTCCAGTGGTGGGGAAAGGCCTTTGGAACTGACCTTGGTGCGTTTCTCTACTTCCTTTAGCCCCAGCAATTGTCCGAGAACTGCAGCTCCACAGCTCTGGGAGCCCCACTCGCCTGGAGGCCTCCTGGGGAGATGCCCCGGGGGAGCAGGATGGCTACCAGCTTCTCCTGTATCACCTAGAGTCCCAAACCCTGGCATGGAATATCTCCATGTCCCCAGGAAACCTATCTTACCGCTTTGACAACCTCTTGCCAGGCAGCCAGTATGTATTGGAGGTTACCACGTGGGCAGGTGATCTCCAAGCGAAGATCAGCGTCCACCAGTGGACAGGTAAGCTGGGTCCCTGAGCAAGGCCTAGAGTGATCTCCCCTCCCCCGATTGGGGAAAGGTGTGGGGGGCCATGTTCCAGTGTGGTTATGCTTCCTGGCCCCTTTGCCTCAGAGCTGGTGTCAGTATCTTCTTCAAGCCCGCGTGTGCCCTGCTCATCCCTCCCTCAGGCCCCGTGCCCCCGGATCACCTGAGGCTAAGTGCCCTGGACACCAGTGCCCTGCACGCCTCCTGGAACCGCTCTGAGGGGGCTGCCCAGCTCCACCTCCTGCTCACCGACCGCTTAGGCAGCTCCAACCTGACCACAGTAGTCAGCCGCGGGGTCTCAAATCATACCTTCCTCCACCTGTCTCCCGGAACCCAGTATGAGCTGATGCTCAGGGCTGCTGCTGGGCCCCATCAGGCCACGGGGCCCAGTGCCACCGAGTGGACCTGTAAGTATCTGGGAGTAGAGGGGATACGCACAAGCTGCTTAATGATCTTCGTTATCTGGAAATAGCTGAGGGGGAGTGGGTTCCTCTGGGGGCACAGATGCTGAGTATCTCCAGCTGGCTAGAGGCGCCACCTAGAGGATGATGGTAGAAGTGATGTTTATCATTATTGAACCATTTTCTGGGGTGGGCTCTGTGCTGGGCACTTCCTACGAGTACTTTAATTCCATCTTCAAAACAGCCTGATGTGGGTCCTGTTGCTCTATGTTATGGCAGAGGTTGCTAAGATGCAGAGAGAGAAAGAACCCAAGGTCACACTGGATGTGGATGTTGCCCATCTGGACCTGGCCGGAACTCTGTAGAACCCATTTCAGCTTTACTCATTCACCATGTTCTTACTCTGAGAAGTGCTATCTGGCAGTGGTTAAGAGGAGAGGAACCAGGCCAGGCACCAAGGGCTCACACCTGTAATCTAAGCTAGTCAGGAGGCTAAGATCTAGAGGAACATGATTCAAAGCCAGCAAGGAAAGTCCATGAGATTCCATCTAAATAACTAGCAAAAAACCACGCTGGAAGCATGGCTGTAGTGGTAGAGCCACAGCTGAGCAAGCAATCCGAGTTGAGTGCAAGGCTCCGAATTCAGACCCTGGTACCAGATGTCTTCCTGAGTTCTTAGATTTGTTTCTGCTACTTGCTAGCTGTGGATTTTTGGATGAGTATTTGCTTACCTGCCTTTGAACTCAGGCCCTCATGCTCTCCCTTGGCTTTTTCCCTCAAGGCTACAGTTCTAGCATTTGATCCACAGCCCCATTTCCACTTTTTTTTCCCTTAGTTAACTGGACAGACATAGGAATCTTGCAGACTTTTCTGTCTAGGCTGGCTTTGACTCACAATCCTCAGATCTCAGCCTCCTGAGTAGCTAGGGTTACTGGCATAGATTCTGTTGGATTATCCAACTCCTGGCAGTTGCTCTGTGTTGAACAATTTGCATCCATTGTCTAGTGTGAGGATTATATGTGGGAGCTGCATGGAGCGTCCTCAGAGCTGGCAGACACACATTCAGTCACGTGATGTGTTATTTCTGTTGCTGTGGATGCTCAGATGGCAGCTCCAGTTCCTGGAATTCACTCAGAGTGTGGTGAATGGGGCTGCTGTCCTGGGCGATGCACAGCTGGGCGTGTATGGAGAGCATCTGGCAGGGGCAGTGGGGGGTTTTCTCTTCCACTGCTTGGGTATTTTGGGAATATTTGCCTCTTTCTCCTCAGACCCCTCTCCCCCACTGGATCTGTTGCTGACTCCGATGCCCCCTGAGCTGCAGGCCAGCTGGAAGGCAGGGCCGGGAGCGCGGGACGGCTACTTGCTGAAGTTGAGTGGACCGATGGAGACGAACATCTCTCTGGGCCCTGAGGTCTACAGCGCCACTATCCCAGGACCTCTGCCAACTGGACACTACGCCCTGGAGCTGAGGGTGCTGGCTGGGCTGCATCATGCCTGGGCTCAGGCCAGTGCCTGGCTGGCTGGTGAGTCTGGACTGGAGAGGTCAGCGTGGAGTCCTGCTAGGGGCAGTGGCCCAGGGGCGGCTGGGTCCTCACTATCCAATCTTTCTTCCTTCCCAGATCCTACAGCCCAGCCCAGGCAGGGCAGTGGTGCCAAGCTGCAGCTGCAAGGATTGAAGGCCACCAGGGAGCCTGGGCGGCGGGCATTGCTCTATGCAGATGGTGGCCCAGGCCTCCTAGGAAATATCTCTGTGCCCTCTGGCGCCACCCACGTCACCTTCTGTGAGCTGGTGCCGGGGGCCCGCTACCGGGTAGACATTGCCTCGTCCTCTGGATTCATCACCCAAAGCCTCACAGGCCACACGAGTGAGTGCCAGCCACGGTGCGCCCTGGTCCCGGGGCTGGAAGACTTTGCCGAGACAAGCAGGGGAAGGCTTGGGAGAGCTGAGCAGGGGGTGTCAGGAGCCAGGACCCATGACCCCTCACCAGAAGGTCCCTCTCTTCAGGTCCCCTGGCACCCCGGTCACTGGAGGTCACCAGCAGGGGAAGCCCCTCTGAACTGACCATTGGCTGGGCCGCAGCCCCAGGAGAGCGAGAAGGCTACAAGGTTGGCTGGTACCAGGACGGCAGCCAGGGGTTGCCCGACAGCCTCGCTGATGTGGGCCCAGACTGTTCCAGGCTGACTCTGAGGGATCTGGTCCCTGGCTCCTGCTACAACATGTCAGTGTGGGCCTGGGCTGGGGACCTCCGCTCCAGCACCCAGAGGATACAGGCCTGTACCCGTGAGTTCCTGGCTTCACTCTGGGAGGCTGGCACAGGGCAGCAGGTGGTGGCGTAGCCTCCTCCTCTCTGCCCCTCCCCGTGTCATGTTCTTGATTCAGGGGGTCATGAGTGAGGTCTTTCCTGAATGTATTCGTACGCATTTTCTACCTTCCACTACCTGATTGGCTGGCCATCCACTCACACATATACCCATTCATCTATCCATTCTTTTCTTTTTCTTTTTCTTTTTTTGCCAGTCAGGGCCTGGGCACTGTCCCTGAGCTTCTTTTTGCTCAAGGCTAGCACTCTACCACTTGAGCCACTTCTGGCTTTTTCTGTGTATGTGGTACTGAGGAATGGAACCCAAGGCTTCATGCATGGTAGGCAAGCACTCTACCACTAAGACACATTTCCAGCCCTATTCATTCATCTATCCACCCACCCACCAATCCATCCATCTACCCACTCACCCACCTGTCTATTTATCTACGCACCCACCCACCTATCCATCTATCCATGTACATACTCATCTATAGATTCTTCTATCTATCCACTCACCCATCCGTTCACCCACTCACTCACCTATCCACCGATTTATCTATCCACCCAGCCAGCCACGCACCTACCACCCACCCATCTAGCCAACCACACACCTATCTGTCCATCCATCCTTCCAACTACCCATTTATCTTCTCAACAAATAGTTAATTAATTCCTACTATTTTCTAGGTATGGGATTAGGTGCCACAGCTAAACATCCTGAAGGAAGGACAACTGGTAGACAGCTTATATACCTATAAGACAAGATATTTTACATATCATATATGACAGGAATATGCAAGACATACTTGCTTGAAATCACATGAAACTGCATTCAAATGGGGAAAAATGGGAATTTTAAGTAGACTGGGCTGATCTTTTTTGTACTCCTAACAAGGACATCTGCTTAGAGAGTCAGAGGAGAGAGAGCAAGTGGGGGCCTGGGTAGGAAGGATGTGGGGATTCATCAGGAGGCTAAGCATGAACACAGACCAGAGTCAGACTCACAGACAGACTGTGACCTAGGCAGAAATCACTGTCAGCAGGTAGACTGGCGGGCAGGGCCCTTGTGGGGTATGAGAAAGTAGGTAGGTACCTTTCTAGGTAGCACAGTGAACAGACAACATGGCCTCAGGAGCTGACACATATCATGCAGGGGGCAGGTGTTGGTAGGGCCAGGTGTGGGAGTGGGTTAGGCCCAAGTGGGGTTGGAGCAGGTGCTGGGCAGGGGCCTGGCATCAGGCAGGAAGTAGATATTGGGCTAGCAATCTAGGAAGGCTTCTGGGATGGTGAGGTGAGTGGGCCCTGAGCCCTGTGGAAGTGGGGGTCTTTCCTCTGCAGCTGTTTGGGGCCACAGAGGCAGGGTTTGGTGTTAATCCATATCTGTCTCTTCCTGCCCTCCAAGGCCCTGCTCCGGTTGCCAACTTGAGCCTGAGCTTTGCTACGGAGCCGCCGGCACTGAGGGTATCCTGGAGCCCCCCTCCAGGTGGCAGGGATGGTTTCCAGCTACGGATTTACAATCTGCGACCCCTGGCTCTAGAAAAAGAGGAGACCCTGGCCCCTGAGGCCCAGAATTTCTCCTGGGCCCAGTTGGCCCCAGGCTCTGAGTTCCTGGTGCAGCTGGGTACCCTGCGGGGGTTGGACGAGAGCAGCAGTGCCAATGCCACAGTCTGGACACGTGAGTGCTCCCCATGGGTCCTCCCTCACCCTGGCTCTTTGGACTCCCAGGGCTTCGTGTGTCCCCCCTTGACCTCGCTGGCCTGTAAGTAGGCAGCTGAGAAAACTTCACTTCGAACCAGCCTGTGGCTATCCCCCCAACCCCAGGAAACTGCTCATCATTCATGGAAACGCTTGGCTTTCTTAAAGGACCATTCACTTGTACAGCAGCCACTTCCCATGCTCCCTTGTGCCCCGCGGTATGGAGTGGGCAGCAGTGGGATCCAGCCCAGACCCTGCTGCTAGTCGGGTCTGGGCTATGCGTTGTCACTAAAACAAGCACCCTAGCAAATGCTCACTGGGTACTTTGCTCAGTACTCCACCTGCTGCTTAAAACATGCTTAGGAGATCAACACCCTGGCTATCTCCATCGACAGATGAGGAAACTGAGGCACACAGAGAGAAGGTAACTTGCCTTCTGAGGGGAGAGTTGAGATCAAGTTCAGCTGTGTGAGGAGCAACAGGAAAGAGGGGCAGAATTCTCTGAAGGTCAGGGCACACATGACCTTCCTTCCCCCACATTCCTCAGGAAGCCCTTTTTCCACCAGCTCAGGTCTTCCTGCATGCTCAGCTTGCTGGCCTCTTTCATGCCTCCAATCTGGGGTGACTCCCCCAACCCTGCCTGGGCCTTCCCTCTCAGCCTCCTTCTTCCCACAAGCCACTATCACTCTCTTCGAGATTTCTCTCAAGAGCCAGGCACGGGTGGCTCATGCCTGTAATCCTAACTACTCGGGTGGCTGAGATCTGAGGATCAAGATTCAAAACCTGCCTGGGTAGGAAAGCTCATGAGCCTCTGATCTCATTAACCACCTCAAAACTGGAATTGGAACTGTGGTTCAAGTGGTAGAGCATTAGCCTTGAATGCAAAAGCTCAGGGACAGTTCCCCGGCCTAGAGTTCAAGTCCCATGCGTAGTGCACACACACAAAGACAAAAGAAAAAGAGAAAAGACTTCTCTCAAGAACTTAGACTGGAGAGAAGTCTGGCCTGGGAGCCTGGAGACCTGGGTTCTAGCCAAGGCTAGCACTGAGAGCATGCCTCAGCCTCCCTGGCCCCCATTATCCTTGGAGATGGAGGTAGTGGGCCAGGTCTGCATGACCCCAGATCCTAGGACTGGGTCTGAGGACAGAGGACATTGCCTGGGCCCCACACGCCCATCTGTCCACCCACATCAAGGTATTTCAAGTCCTGCGGGACTGGGGAGAGCCTGTGAACAACATCATGGTGCCCTGTCTAGTCCCAAAGGCCACAATGGGATGGCACTGGGGAGAGGGAGAGATTAATTTATCCATTTAAGCTGGGGTGGTGGTGGTGGTGGTGGTGGTGGTGGTGGTGGTGGTGGTGGAGAGGGGATGGGCAGGTCAGATCTCAGGATCCCTGCTGTCCCTGGTCACTGTCCCTGGCTCAGACTGGGCCAGGACAGGCAGAATGAATGGTGAAATGGACCTTTCTGGGCAGGAGGACCCGAATAAAATAACTAATGTAGATTCTTTTCTCTCTTCTTGTCTACCTTGCCGTGCTTGGCTTTCCTACAGCTCCCTTGGCCCCTCCTGAGATACACATGACCAGCGAGGGCCCCACACAGCTCCGGGTATCCTGGGTCCATGCTTCTGGGGGCCGAGATCAGTACCAGCTGACCCTGTACCAGGAAGGCACCCAGGTGGCCACTGGCACCGTGGGGGCCGAGGTGGACAGCACAAGCTTTTCAACTCTGACCCCGGGCACCCAGTATGAGGTGGAGTTGGCCGCACAGGCTGGGCCCCTCCGCACCGCAGCTGCCAACGTCTCCGGCTGGACCTGTGAGCAGACTGTGGGAAAGGCAGGGAGGGGAGGGGGCGTGGCCAGGACCACTCCAAGACCCCTGGGCCCCTCCCTCCATGGCATAGTAGCTCACCTCCATGCTGAGGGCCCCGCATGAGATCATGGTCCTCTGAGCCACACAGGCCTCTCATGATCAGGGCCAGCAGGCCTGGCTGACCCGTGCCCTTCCCTCCACAGCCCCGTCCATGCCCACTGAGTTGCTGGTGTCCATGCAGGCGGGCAGCGCCACGGTCAGCCTGGCCTGGGCCAGTGGCTCCTTGGGGCAGGGCATATGCCATGCCCAGCTCTCCGAGGATGGGCACCCCGCCTGGGAGGAGCCCCTGGCCGTAGGCCAAGCCCACCTCGTGCTGAGGGGCCTCACGCCTGGACGCAGCCTCGGGCTGTCAGTGCTGTGCCGAGCCGGGCCTCTCCAGGCCTCCACTCGCCCCGTGGTGCTGCCTGTCGGTAGGTTGCCATCCGCGAGGGGTGGGAGAAGTGACAGGAGGCTGTGGCCCTGCTACTCGGAGCCACCAGCTCCTGGCAGGCAGGTGTGTGCCCACCTCTGTCCCCATGGCTTGATACCAAGGACAAGTCATTTCTCCATGTGACTGTGGTCCTTCCCATGAACACAGACAGCCCTCTGCACCTGCTGGTTTGGGGGTAGAGAGAGAGAGAGAGAGTGTGTGTGTGTGTGTGTGTGTTGGGGCTTGAATTCAGGGCCTTGAACTCTTCCTCAGCTTTTTTGCTCAAGGCTGGTGCTCTACCACTTGAGCCACATGCTCCAGCACTGGCTCCCCTCCCCTTTCCCCCCCATTTCAAGTGTTTTTAAAACTTTAGCAGTACAAATTATCCAGGTTGAGGATTATCCACAGATCAACACAATGAAGTCCGTATTAAAAAAAAAACCCAAACAATGAAAACAACATAAAACATACTCATCAGGTCTCAGACATAAAGTTTGAGACGTTGAATTTCTGTAACTCGCTCATTCCCTTTCGCCTTCATCTGTGCCAGGACTTCATTGATGGTCATGTCGTTATCATGTCCGTGAGCATTTTCCTGACCTTTTGATTTTTGGTTTTTGTTTTCCATTGAGGCTCTTGGCCTTTCATCCTCCTTATTTCTCAGCATGGAGGACTTTAGTTCATTGTCCTGGCTGCTTTGTTTTTATTTTTGATATTGGGCTTTGGCCTCTGTCATTATTATTATTTAATAATAATATCCACCCCTCTTTTTAATGATGGAAACAGAAAGCATCTAAAACCAAAGCTTCTGAAAGAAGCACTTGTTTTTGCTGGTCTCGTATCTCTCCTCAAACTTGACCTTGGCCTCCCGTCAGGCCTTGTGTTTAAGAGCTGGGTCTCTGAAGACATCCTTGTTGACCACAGATTTGTCCCAGGGGATATCTACAGAGTATCTTGTGGGCACAAGGTGATTGTAGTTATAAACCTTCACAAAGGACTCGATCTTTGACCTCTTGGTGATCTTCTTGCCCATGTTAGCTATCACTTTTCGGGAATAGCAATCAATTCCTGCCACCAAAGCATGGCTGTAGGGGCGATCTGAGGTGCTATCATCAATGTCCTTCATGCTGATGGCTTTAAGCACCACTTTCCCAGGTTTCCTGAACTTGCCCATTTCGACAGCACCCAGCAGCCCTACAGCAAAAAGGACTTTAATAATATTAATAACCTCTGTCCCTCCCCCTCCCATTATTATTTAAATTACTGTGATCATGGTTTTTTTGAGTATATTCTTTTCCTCTGTGAACTCCTGCTTTCTTGGTTTGTGTATTTTTTTTTTTTTTTTGTTTTGTTTCTGCTCTGACTACTTTCTTTTCTCTCTGAGCTCCGCGAATCTCTCCTCATATCTTTTTTTTTTTTTTTTTGCTAGTCTGGGGCTTGAACTCAGAGCCCGGGCACTGTCCCTGAACTTCTTTTGCTCAAGACCAGCACTCTACCACTTGAGCCATAGCACCACACCTGGCTTTTTCTGTTTATGTAGTACTGAGAAATTGAACCCAGGGCTTCATGCATGCTAGGCAAGCACTCTGCCACTAAGCCACACTCCCAGTCCCCTGTCTTGACTTCTTGATCTTCCTGGTGGCATTCTTTTTCAGTTTCATGATGTTCCTCTTTCCTTCTGCCACTGCTGGCTTTTGGTTGGCTAATTGGATATAAGAGTCTCACAGACTTTCCTGCCCAGGCTGGCTTGGAACCTCAGTCCTCAGATTTCAACCTCCTGAATAGCTAGGATTACAGCTGTGAGCTGCTGATGCCCGGCTGCACCTGCTGCTTCTGGGGGCCCCTGAGCGAATGTCATCTTCCTGGGGGTACATGGACTCCTACACAGAGCAGACCCCATGGTTCCCCCAGAGCCTGGCCCTGTGAAGGATGTGCAATGCCAGCCGGAGACCACTTACCTGGCCCTGACCTGGTCCATGCCTCTCGGGGATGTGGACTCCTGTCTGGTGGTAGCAGAACAGCTGGTGGCCGGAGCGGGCACGCGCCTCGTGTTTCAGGCCAACACCTCTGAGGATGCCTTTCTCCTGCCTAACCTGGCACCTGCCACGCCCTATCGCCTCAGCCTCAGTGTGCTGGGCAGGAACGGCCTGTGGAGCCGGGCAGTGACCCTGGTATGCACCACTTCTGCTCAAGGTAGGCCTTTGTACCACTCTCCCTCCATCGCTGCAGGCCCCCAGTGCCTTTCCCCTGGTTCCACACAGAAGCCTTGTACCATGGCCCTGTAGCCTGTGAATCTTCCAGTTCTTATTTAATTGTGTCCAGGAACCGTTTTTGCTGACAGACCCTGGGAGAGGTGCTAGGGACAGAAAGACCCGGTCCCTGCTCCCTGACTATAACCACCAAGTTGGGCTTCTGTGTCCTCTCCTCTCCCCCAGCCTGGCATCCCCCAGAGCTGGCCGCAGCCCCCCAGCTGGAGCTGGAGTCAGGGCTGGGGGTGACGATCACACGAGGCATGTTTGGCAAGGATGATGGGCAAATCCAGTGGTATGGCATCATTGCCACCACCAACGTGTCACGTGAGTCCCGGGCCCAGAGGGGTGCAGGGAGCCTGGCTGTGGCCTGGCATGGGCAGGTGAGGACCGCCACTTAACCTGAGACTCGATGATGAAGATCTGAGGCTGGAGTTGACTTGCAGCTGGAAGGGACCCCCAGACTCTTCTAGGTGGAGAACATGCTAGAGAAATGGAGGCACTCCTCGCGGTGGAGAGCGAGGCCTCTACCCACTGCCCATCTCCTGTCCTTTCCCCATTTCTCCGCCAGTGCCTCAGCCCCCGCAGGAAGCCATCAACCACACGTGGTTCGATCACTACTACAGGGGACACGACTGCTATCTGGCCACGCTGCTCCCCAACCCCTTCTACCCAGGGCCCTGGGCTGTGCCAACATCCTGGACGGTGCCCATGGGCACAGAGGACTGTGGCCATACCCAGGAGATATGCAACGGGCAGCTGAAGCTGGGTTTCCAGTACAGGTGTGTGTGTGCATGGGGGACGGGCATCCACCGCCAGTGCGCAGGTCTGGGAGGGGTGTGGCGTCATCATCCGCCCTCCTCAACGGCCTTCTTCCCTGCCCCAGGTTCAGTGTGGTGGCGTTCACCAGGCTCAACTCTCCGGAGACCATCACCTCTTTCTCAGCCTTCTCAGGCGAGGAGGGCACCTGGCTGGCGTTCAGACGGTGCCAGCCGGTCCCTGGAGCTGGGGATGCATGCTGGGACCTCTCTTGCAACCTGCCGTGGGAGGGGCTCAGCTTAGGCTCCTGGGGGTCAGGTGCCAGCTTGCAAAGCTGAGGTTCTGAGACCCTGGGCACCAGGCCTGGGCGGGGGCTGGGCTGGAGAGGCACTGGGTGGGGGTAAGAGGGTCACTTCACTGTTGTCTATAGCAACAGCATTTTCCTATCTGCAGCCAGCCACCAGGGCTCTAGAGTAGCACTGTCCAGTAGGAACCCAGTGCAAGCCACCAGTGTGAGCTGAACTGCATGTGCAACTTAGAATTCCCTAGCATAGGTCCAGGTATAGTGGAACATGTCTGTAATCCCAGTACTAGGGAGGTAGTGGCTGTAAGATTGTGAGTTTAAGGACAGCCCGGGCTCACGCCTGTAATTCCAGCTACTCAGAGGCTGAGATCTGAGGATCACAGTTCAAAGCCAGCCCGGGCAGGAAAGTCCATGAGACTCTTATCTCCAATTAAAGACCAGAAGACCAGAAGTGGCGCTGTGGCTCAAGTGGTAGAGCGCTTTCCTTGAGCTGAAGACCAAAGGACAGTGCCTAGGCCCATAGTTCAAGCCCCATGACCGACCTAAAAAAGAAGGAAGCTGAGATCTGAGATTGAGGTTGAAAGCCAGCCTGGGCAAGAAAGTCCAATTAACCATTAAAAAGCTAGAAGTAGGTCTGTGGCTCAGGTGGTAGAGCGCAGGCCTTGAACAAAATAGCTCAGAGATATTGCCTAGGATCTGAGTTCAAGCCCCAGGAGACACACACACACACACACACACACACACACACACACACACACACACACACACACTAATTTTTGACCTCACATTGAGCCAGTCACATTGCTTGCGCTCACTAAGCAGGAGGCCGCTGCTTTCCCTACAGAAAAGCGCAGTTCTACAAGGTCCAGGAAGCCAGGCCTTTGCCCTCTTCCTTTAGAGGGCATGAGGGAGGGGAGGCCTGAGTCTGGGGTGGCTTGCTGGCTGTGTTCAGTTCAGTTCCTGGGGCCCAGTTTGCACCTGTGACTTCTAGTGTTCTCTATGACAACCTGAGTCCTGCAGAAGCTGGCGTGTCCACAGGCCAGCGGGACAAGGCCATATCCACCTCTTCTTCTGTCCCCAGAGCCCCGGGCCAGCGTGTCCTCGGCTGCAGTGCCCCTGGCAGCCGTGGTGGGCATCGCGGCAGGCTGCATCCTCACCGTCTGTGCCGGGCTGAGCTTGCTGTGCTGGTGGAGGCGGAAGGGGCCGGGGTGAGTGGGAGAGGGGGCCCTCGGGAAGGGGGGAAACCACCGTGCGTGTGGGGGACGAAGGGGGCTCCCGGGGGCCGTCCCCACCTGGGGGACTGCCTCCCACTTTGCCTTTGTGCTCTGGCAGGGCAGAGAAGGACGGCTTTTCCCACGAGCTGACGTCCCACAGCCTGAGGTGAGGGTACAGCCCAGTGCTTCCTGGAGTGGGACTGGGCAGCGGCGTGGGCCTGGGGGGGGTCCTGCCCGGGGGGGGCACTGCCACAGCCTCCTTGCAGGCTGTGCCTCTGTGACTGCACACAGACAGCTCCCGGGCCTCTCCCATCTTCTTGAAGACTTCCAGCACCTTCTACCTCTTCTCCTCACGCCTGCAGCTTCTCCCTCCTCTTCCTCCTTCAAACCTACTGCATAAGTTGGAGCTGTCAGAGATAGAGGACCAAGGAGGAATGGGGGAAAGAAGTTAATTCTGGGGCGGGGGAAGCTTGTGCTGAGTGTAGTGGCATTCAGCTGTAATCCCGGCACTCGGGAAGCTGGAGCAAGGGAGGTGGGTTATATTATGGTGGAGTCTTGGTGAGTCCAAAATCTGATGGGATGGGCGGCCCTAGACCCACGTGAGGGTCTGAAGGGTCTGCGGGAAGAGATCTTCCTCCAAGGAGGTCGGTTTTTGTTCTCTGAAGGCCTTCAACTGACTGGGTAAGGCCCATCCACATTAGGGAGAGTCAGCTGCTTTCATTACAGACAACTGAGTTAAAAAGCTAATCACATCCAAAACATCCTAGAAACATCCAAGGTGATGCTTGGTTATATTTCTGGGCACTGTGGCCAGCCAAGCTGACATAAAACTAGCCACCACCCTCACTGCAGTGGGTTCTAATCACATGGATGAATGGCTGTGGGGTTACTCCCGGCCAGAGCTCTCCCTCCTAGTGGCATTGACTGAGCACTGGCTGTATACTTGGGCCCTGGATGCTTAGTTCCTGTCCTCCGCCCCCACCTTCTCACTCTCTCTCTGCCCCTTTTCCTTCATTCTGTGATGGCAGCTTGCACTGGAGAGCTGACCGGGAGTGTGTGCTGTTCATTCTGGGGTTCAGAGGCCAGGATCTGCGAGCCCAACAGCCCCCATGCGCACACTGTTTATCCAGCGGTGCATCTGCCATCCGGGGCGGGCAGGGCAGGGTTCACCCTCACAGGTGGGGTCCCCCTCCCCCCCAGGCGGACCCACCGGCCCATCCCTACCCACGGCTTCCGGCAGAGCTTCGAGGCCAAGAGTGCTCATGCCAATCAGGCGTTCTTCCAAGAGTTTGAGGTGAGGCCTGCATTGCCGGTAGACTCCTGGTTTCCCAGCCTGGTGCCCACCTGACTCCGTGAGTTAGGTCAGCGCCAGCATCAGCGTCTCCCATGTGGGCAGGAGCTGAAGGAAGTGGGCCGGGAGCAGAGCCGGCTGGAGGCAGAGCAGCCGGCCAACGCCGCCAAGAACCGCTACCCACACGTGCTCCCTTGTGAGTAGCGCAGCCGGAGGGCAGGGCACAGGGCCCGGCGGGGCCCGGGAAGGGGCTGCGTGTGCCCACCCTGAGCTGCTCCCCTCTGCAGACGACCACTCCAGGGTCAGGCTGATGCAGCTGGCTGGAGACCCCCATTCTGACTACATCAACGCCAACTTCGTTCCCGTAAGCACCACCGGCTGGAGGGGCTCTGGAGGTGTCAGCTTAGGATGTGAGCTGCAGGGGCGGTGGGCGGGGGGGACGGGGGAGGAGATGCAGGGTCCTGGCAAAGCTATAGCTGTCATCTGTGATGATCACCCGGTCCTTATGGTTTAGGTCAACACAGTAGGTGGTGTTTGAGGGTCCATTCTGTTGAGTTAGTCATGTTAATACCTTCATGGGTCATACGTGTATGTGTGTGTGCATGTGTGTGTGCGTGTGCACGCACATGTGTGTAGGAAAGAGAGAGTGATTTGGAGAGATCAGGGCATCCTGGAGGAAAGAAAAAAAATGGTCTATTGGAGGAATCACCAAAGACTTCCAAAAGCTATGTGCAGTGTGGTGATACATGCCTGTAATCCCAGCTACATGAGAGGCAGAGGCTGGAGGATTACAGGTCCTGGACTGGCCTAGGCAAAGTTAGGAAAACACTATCCCAAAAGCAAAATACAACAGGGCCAGAGACATAGCTCAAGTGGTAGAGCACTTGCCTCACGTGTGCAAGGCCCTGTGTTCAAACCTCAAGAAGTTTCCTAGCAGAGGGGGCGTTCAGTCTCTTGAAAAACAAATGGCGTTGTTTGGATTAGCCTACATGAGTTGTGCAGGGGGTCAGTGTAACACTTCCACACATGTATTCTGATCAACCTGACCCCCATCTCTCTCACCCCTCCCCACTCCCCGCCTTCTTACAACACTCTCAGTTCTATTTTGACACGTGCAGATAAGCTTCCACCGTATTTGACCATATGTGTCCTCTGTCACCCTCTCTGGTTGCCCTCATCCAATATTTTTGCCTGATATTCTCTGTGTGTGTGTGTGTGTGTGTGTGTGTGTGTGTGTGTGTGTGTGTGTTGCACGGGAATGCAGGGTAAGGGGGGCTCAGGGGGGAAAGGTAGACAGGGCTGGAGGGAGGAAAGAGGATTGGTTTTTAGCGGAGGGCTTTAGAGTCTGCGATGAGCCGTAATGCCTCAAGAAGGGTCATGGGGGGGGGGGCAGCTTGGCGTTAGGGGAGACACTTGGGTTGGTGAGGCGGGCGAGCTGCGTAGACTGGCACGCTGGCCTGTGTGGATCTTGCTATTTCCAGGGAGGATTTTCTTCCCCCTTTGAGGTGGGCATGGCGGAGGCCATGGCTCCTGCGTGGGCGCTTAGAGCCTGGGCTGTTCCTGTGTTTGCACACGTGGCTGTATGGGCCTGCATGCTGTAGCCATGCTTGTGGAGGCCAAGGGCTGATCACCCCTGCTCTATGGTGGGAACCTGGGGGCCATGACCCCACCCCCCACACACACACCCCTGACTGTGTTCCTGCCCTCTGCCCCCACACTCTAGGGCTACACCCACCCACAGGAATTCATCGCCACCCAGGGGCCTCTCAAGAAAACGCTGGTGGACTTCTGGCGGCTGGTGTGGGAGCAGCAGGTCCCCATCATCGTCATGCTCACCGTGGGCATGGAGAATGGGAGGGTGAGCACGCCATGCAGCCATGCAGGTCCTCAAAAGAGCCACTAGGTGGCGCTTGTTCTTGTGGGAACCTCCCCTCACCCCCACCCCATTAGGAGTGCTAGGACAGACGGAAGTGAGGAAGGATGGAAAGGGAGAGGGGTACAAAAGTTAGGGTACCCTGCCTGAGGGATGCCTCCCCTGTGCCCTGAGCAGGCTGCTGAGTTGGCCTGTGACTAGGGCAGCAAGGCAAAGGCAGATGGCCCCTAAACCCGAGCAATCCAGTTTCCCAAAGGAGCCAAAGACCCTTCGAGCCCTGGGGGTCCAGGGGTGAAGGTGCTGGCTCCCAGCGATAGGAGGGAGGCTGCTGGAGAAGGAGGCCTTGGAGCTGTGGGTACAAGGAGCAGAGCTTCATCAGGGTGGCAGGGACCCAAAAGATGGGCTGGGAAGGTGGCTCAGTGGTAGAGTGCTTGTCTCCAGTGCATGAGGCCCTGGGTTCGATTCCTCAGCACCACATAAGCAGAAAAAGTCAGAAGTGGTGCTGTGGCTCAAGTGGTAGAGTGCTCACCTTGAGCTGAAGATCTGAGGCCTAGGCCCAGAGTTTAAGCCCCACCACCAAACAAACAAAAAAGAGATGGGCAGAGAGGGGTGGGGCTGATAAACTGGGGTGGGAGTGGGGTGTAGCAGGGAGTCCCCACTCCCCAGCCCTCTCCAACCCTCCACCCTAGGTGCTGTGTGAGCATTACTGGCCAGCGGACTCCACCCCTGTCACACACGGACACATCACCATCGACCTCCTGGCCGAGGAGTCCGAGGATGAGTGGACCACCAGGCAGTTCCGGCTGTGGCATGTGCGTGGCCAGGGAACAGGGCGGCCGGGGCTGAGGCCTCCTGAGGAGGTGTGCCACCCAGGGTTCCCGTGGCCCTCATATTGCTGAGGATCACTGCTTAGCCACCCGTGGAAGGATGGTTAGGGAACAGTAGTTAGTTAGGGAAGGGGTGCAGGGCACAAAGAAGGTCAAGGCTGACCTGGGGTATGGAGCGTTAGTGGCTCACACCTGTCATCCTAGCTACTCAGGAGGCTGAGATCTGAGGATCTGGGTTCAAAGCCAGCCTGGGCAGGAAAGTCTGTGAGACTCTTATCTCCAATTAACCACCAGAAGTGGCGCTGTGGCTCAAATGGTAGAGCTCTCGCCTTAAGCTGAAGAGCTGAGGGACAGCGCCCAGGCCCAGAGTTCAAGCCCCACGACTGGGGGGTGGGGGGGGGGGTGGGGTGGAGACAGAGCAAAGAGAGAAGCAATGGACGGTGCCCCCCAACCCTGAACTCAGATCTGTGCTCCCTGCCCTCCCCACCCCTCGGTGCTTCCCCAGTGGGTGATCTTCTGGGACAGGAAGACGGGGCCTGGGATCAGCCCTCTGCAGGCACAGATCACCCAGGAGCATTGAGAAGGAGCCAGGGACTCAGGCAGCGTCTACAGCGGGGTGGGTGGGGACATAGAGCTGCCACTCTCCCTCCAGGAGACTCAGTCTGAGGGGAGAGGCTGACCACTGCCCTCCAGGAGTTGGTGAGGAAGGCTCAGTAGCATAGCCCCTGCCCCCCTCCTGCCCACCCACCCTCAGGGTGCCCAGCAAAAGCAGCGGAGGGTGAAGCAGCTTCAGTTCACCACCTGGCCTGACCACAGCATCCCCGAGGCCCCCAGCTCCCTGCTCGCCTTTGTGCAGTTGGTACAGGAGCAGGTGAGGGCCACGCAGGCCATGGGGCCCATCCTGGTGCACTGCAGGTGAGAACGGGAGGTGGGGGGCCTTGCCTGGCCACGGTGGGGGAGGGGCCTCCCCCACTGAGTTCCCCAGGGCTGTCCCCACAGTGCCGGTGTAGGCCGGACGGGCACCTTCATCGCCCTGTTGAAGCTCCTTCAGCAGCTGGAGGAAGAGCAGATGGTCGATGTGTTCCACACCGCGTATACACTCCGGCTGCATCGGCCCTTCATGATCCAGACACCAGTGAGCGCCTTACCATGCTGGGCCCCGCCGCTCAGACCTCAAGGAGAGGGAGGGCAGGAGATGGTCACAGGAAGTAGATGACTCTTTCTACAGTGGCCTCTTGTGCTCAGGGCTCATACTATGCCACTGTCCTCCCTGGGCTGCATTTTTCCCCCTTTCCCTTCCCTTCCCTTCCTTTCCCTTCCCTTCTCTACCCTTCCCTTCCCTCCCCTCCTCTTCCCTCTCCCACACCCCAGGGCTTTTGCACCACATCTCCACTTCTGGCTTTTTGCTGGTCAATTAAAGGTAAGAGTTTCACAGATTTGTCTGCCCAGGTTGGCTTTGATCAGGGATCCTTGGACCTCAGTCTCCTGAGTAGCTAGGATTAGAGGCGTGAGCCATGGCAGTGCCCGTCTTGTTTTCTTTTCTATGAACGGACAGGAGGGATGGCCCTGGCCAAATCCACACTGAAGGACAGCACAGGGAAGTTCCTAGATGGATGCCTTGTCCCTCCTGTGTGTTTTAGATCTTGCTGGGCTAGCCCTCCCCCTCCCCCCCCCCTCCCGCCCCCCCCCAGCTGACATCCTCTCTTCCACCAGAGCCAGTACATCTTCCTGCACAGCTGTCTGCTGAACAAGATTCTGAATGAGCCTTCTGACACTTTAGAGTAAGTTCTTGGGTCCCGGCAGCTGGGCATGGTGCCCTGTACCTTCTCACCAACAGGATTTGGCCTCCTGCCCTTGGGGAGAGCCTGGAAGACTGGCAGTGGGAGCTGGGTCACCTGAGCCTCTTTCTTCTCAGTCCTTCCCCCAGTTCTGGGCCCATCTCTGTGATGAACTTTGCACAGGCGTGTGCCAAAAGGGCAGCCAATGCCAACTCTGGCTTCCTGAAGGAGTACGAGGTAGACTGCAGGCCCAGGAGTGGGTGGCACCAGAGGTAGGCCTTCCCTTCCCTGCCTCAGGGTGCCAATCTCCTTCCCAGCTCCTGCTGCAGGCCATCAAGGATGACACGGGCTCTTTGTTGCCCCCTCCTGGCCATGAGCAGAACAGCTCCATCTTCTGTGAGTCTCACCGGGTATACTGTGAGAGTTGGGGTTGGGGCAAAGACTTGGACCCTGTGGGCAACCTCTCACTCACCACTTCCCCACAGATGATGGTTCTCAGGTTGAGCTTTCTCTGGATCAGGAGAGCCCCACTGATGCCATGACCGAAGCCTGGCTCTTCCCTGTGAGATGATGCTGGTCTAGCTGCCTTACTGCTTACCCTCTATTTGTGCTTCTCAGCCTGGGACCTGGGGACTCTGGGAGCTTTTGGAGCTATGGGTTGGGCAGAGGACGACTTAATCCTTGGAGTTGATTGGCTATGCTCTGCAGGGTGGGCCTTCTGGCCGTGACCACGTCGTATTGACTGGTCCTGCGGGACCAGAGGAACTCTGGGAGCTGGTGTGGGAGCACGGAGCCCATGTGCTGGTCTCCCTGTACCCGCTGGATACCCAGGAGAAGGTGAGGGGCGTGGAGGGACAGAAGATAGGGAAGGGAGGAAAGCATGGTGCCATCTGACCTTAGGAAGGTCCCTGAGCAACGTGGGCTATGTTCCAGCCTCAGGAGTTCTGGCCAACAGAGATGCAGCCGGTGGTCACAGACATGGTGACAGTGCACCGGGTGGCTGAGAGCAACACAGTCGGCTGGCCCTGTACCGTGTTCAGGGTCACACATGTAGGTGTCTTGGCCACCAGCCATGGGGTGGCGGGCTGTGGGGGTCAGGGTGAGGGAGGGTTCTGGGCTGGCTACCCTCTGCCCTGCTGGGCACCGATTGGGATCTGGTCTGTTCCCAGGGGCAGAGCGGGCTGGAGAGGCAGGTCCAGCATCTGCAGTTTCAGTTCTGGGAATCGGGGCACGAGCTGCCTGCTGCCACCTTGCTGCCTTTCCTAGCTGCGGTGGGCCGTTGCTGCTCCCAGGGCAAGAGCAGAAAGCCGGGCACACTGCTCAGCCACTCCAGGTGCTGCTGGACAAGTCTCCCAGCCCCTGCTTGAGTGTGTGGGTCCAAACAACCCAGTGCCCCAAAGTCCCTGTCCACTCTGCACCTTGCCCTTTACCCTCCTCTCCCCCACTTGCGGTCAGTATCCAGGGCCCTTTCCCAGTCCCTGGACCCAGGTGTGCTTTCAACCACATCCCTGGGTGTGGAGTACCCCTCAGGTACTCCATCCAACTCTAAGTCAATTGCAGCAAGGGCACTACCCATCTGGGCATCTTCCTGGCCATGGAGCAGCTGCTGCAGCAGGCGGGATCTGAGTGCACCGTGGATGTCTTTAACGTGGCCCTGCAGCAGTCACAGGCCTGTGGTCTCATGACTCCAACACTGGTGAGAGGCAACCAAGGGCTCAGCTGTGGGACGGGCAGGGACGGGCCTGGGACGGGCAGGGACGGGCAGGTTCTACTCTGGCTGCAGCGGCCTCGGGGCAGCAGCATTCAGTTTTGCCACCAGGTGGCGCTATGGACCACTATGCTCTGACCCACATGGCGTGCTAGGGTTAGAAGACACAGGTTTCAGCAGTTAAGAATGAAGCTTCTTTCCATGTCTACCCTCAGGAGCAGTATATCTACCTCTACAACTGTCTGAACAGCGCACTGGTGGACGGGCTGCTCTGAGTCTGCGAAGGGCCCGTGCCCTGATGGGCTGTGATGGCAAGGCAGCCCAGGCCTGGCTTCCCTGGGAGAATAGTTCCATAGGATCCCAACCAAGGGGAAACAGCCAAGGAATAAAAACATGCGGTCAAGTCTGAGGTAGTGTTCTGTCTGTCCGTCCTCTAGCATGGGTCCTCATGGGCAAATAGGACGAGGATGGGAGCTGGGGCCTGGGACCAGCTGAGCTGGCTGTGCCCTGGAGCTGGTAAGTGGCTGGCTCTCACCCTGGAGTCCCCCCATCTCCCAACACACACTTCTTAGTCTTCTGGTTTCCTCAGATTTCCATCTCTACCTCTAGCATCCTGTGGTGCTAGGCCCAGGGATAGAACCTCACTGACGTACCGATTCTTACCCACCACCCCAAATGCACTAGGATTTATGTTGTCCCTCACTTCCCTTCTCTGGACACCCCAGCCTTCTCTACCTGTGAGAGCCTTCAGGAACCATCCTCACTCACAGCAGACTTCTTGCCAGGGTAGAGATGCTCATGAGGGTCAGGAGCCAGAGAAACTCCCAAGTCAGCCTACCAAATCCTCTCTGCTCCTTTGTTCTTTCCTGTTTCCTCCCCTCCAATGGGAGGAGGTGGAGGAAAAAGCAAGGAGTGGGAATATGGAAAAGGGAAAACCTAGGAGACCAGAAAAGAGTGGGAATGTGACTGCCTGCCCCGGACACCTGAAGGCTGGACTGCACGTGGTAGAATACAATGTGGGATGGCCGCATAAGCTCCTGCCTGTCTCCTGGACTGGATCTCAAGACCCTGATGCTAGAACCTGATGGTCCTTGGTAAAGGGCCCTGGAAGACAGAGAAGCCTAGAAATATTGAAAGAGAATTCCCTTGAGTAGAGTTACACACACGCATGCACGCGCACACACACACACACACACACACACACACACACACCCTGAAAGGGGGAGACCAACTTCAGTTCCTAGTAATGCACAAAGAGCCAGAGGTCAGGACCTCAGAAGGGCTGAAGAAGGGAAACAAAAGTAAGGCCAAAGGGCTTGGTTCCATAAAGTCTCTCACAGGAGCTGGCTGGAGACAATTCTGAGCCCACCTCGAGAGACTGCAGCAAGGCTCAACCATGGCTTTCCAGCCTGAGTCCCTCGCTGGAGCAGCAGGTGTGGAGATGGGGTGCAGGATGGAGCCACGACTACAAATGTGTGACGTGGGAAATGCAGGCCCTCCTGAGCTCAGGCTCGCCCACAGGGCAGAGCCTGTGCAGGGCTTCCTGCTTGTGCAGGGCCATCCTGTAGCTCATCTTCTGCTTTTAGGGCCATAGCCTGACTGATTCTCGGGGTCAGGGTTTGCTGGCTTTTTGACCCAGCTAGGCAGCCCCTCTGGCCCTGGAGTGACAGCAGAGGTTGGAGATGGAAGAGAAGGTCCTGAGACGTGAGAGCACACTGTGGAGGAAATACTGGATGCCATCAAGGTCCTCAAGTTTCTGGTGTGCATTCTGTTTGGAGCATGAGGGGTCAGGGCAAGTGGGAACAGGGAGGCCTTGAGCCTCATCTAGCTTTGCACTGGGGTTTTGGCTCAGAGGGAGACCAAGAGACCAGAGAAATCAAGAGGCCTGGTGAAGGAGTCTCTGCCAGCCAAGGATGGCTAAGAGAGAATGGAACTTGGCGCCAACTTGAACCAGCTCCCTACATCCTGAAGATGGACAAAGGGCTCACTCTGGGATTGGAGCATCAAGTGGCTGAGCAGCATCTGCAGCACTGAGCCTCCAGGTGGCGCCAGTGCGCTGACTTTCCGACGGGCTCTGACAACCAGCTGGGCACACCGTGGGCTCTGGGGGGTCGTGGGAGGAATCAAGGTGATCCTCAGGCCTTAAACCCAACTGGGAGGACAGATGTGCATTTCCATCCATTGCACCCCAGGGGTGGAAACCCACAGCCTAGTCTGCGTGTTAGGGCACTGTGCCTCCCTCCTCCACCCACCCCCCCCAACCTCATGACCCCATCCAGGACCCAGAGAGGAGGGCTGCCCTGCGCCGCACCACAGGCCGGCCCCAGCACCTGTGACCTTGAGCAAATAGCTTCTCCTGGGTCTGGGCAGACAGTCGGCTTCTCTTGGGTTCCTCCAGTGCCAGACCTGCTGGGGAAGGCACTGGGGCTTCTGGGAACCCTGAGCTCTCTCTCCCAGGCTCTCCTTCCCGTCCCCAGTGTCCCCTTGACTGTCCTCAAAGGCAAGAGGGCCTGGGGACGCCCCTAGCTCAGGATCTGGGGCGCCCCTTTTCAAACAAGTGCATGCCCGTGACATGCTGGGCTTTCCTTGCTTTGGATTTCTTCGCTTTCTCTCCCCCCACCCCCCTTTTTCCCCTCCTTTCCTGGATGAAATTCCTGCCAGCTGGGAGGGAAGGAGGGAAGGAAGGAGGGTAAGAAGGAGGGAAGCGAGCAGGAGGGAAGCGAGCAGGGGACGAGGCGCAGCGTCGAAAGTTTCCTTGACTCCTCCTCCGCCCGTGTCTCCCTCCCTCGCCAAGCCCAGCCAGTGAAACTGAATAAGGCCGATCGCTCACACAATGCCTGGCCGGCTCTGACGGCACGGTCCCCGCGCTGCGCCGCCGCCGCCGTCCCAGCCCAGCCCAGCCCAGCCCGCGGGCCGGTCCCCACCGACGGGCCCCGGAGACAGCCGCGCGCGGCCCCGCGCCCGCCCGGCCGCCCAGCCGCCCAGATGCCCCGCGCGCCCCGGCTCCTGGCGCTGTGGCTGTGCGCCGCCGCCCTGTGCGCCTCCCCGGGCCACGCCGGCGGCCCCCAGCCCGGCCCCGGCCGCGCCACCTGCCCCGGCCCCTGCCACTGCCAGGAGGACGGCATCATGCTGGCGGCGGACTGCTCTGAGCGCGGGCTCTCCGTCGTGCCTCGCGACCTGGACGCGTTGACGGCGTACCTGTGAGTACTCGCCCGCCCAGGACACCTGCCCGCGGCGCGCGCGTGCGCTCGGGGTGCGCGGGGTGTCCCCGTCCCCGGGGCACCTGTCCGCGGGGTGTCTCTGACCCGGACATCTCAGCAGGGTTCAGGCTCCAGGGCTGGAGAGGGGAGATGAGGCAGAAATTAAAGAGCAGACGAGCAGTGAGGCTGGGCTTCGCTTGCTTCCCTAGGCGGCAAGGTGGGTTGCACCCCAATTCAGACAGGGGGTCGGCGGCTCTTGCCTCGTCCAGCAATTGCAGGGCCCAGGAGGGTCACCCTGGCTGCACTGGCGGCCGAGGTGGAGAGAGTGCGCCCCGGGGGTTGGAAGCAGGTCTGTGTCTGGAGTGGAGAGGAGGTACACGGAGCTAGGTGTGCGTGTGTGTGCGCGCGCGCGGGGGGGATCACCCACTCTTCTCAGAAGGGGACCCCGCCAGCACCGTGCCCTTCTGGTTAGGGCTATTGCCACCTCCCCAGGGGCCTCCCTGAAGTTGTGTCCCAGGAGGCTGTGCTGGAGACACTAATTTGTGGCCAGACGCCGAGGCTGAAAACCAGAGAACCATTTTTAGAGTCTGAGTTGGGGTGAGATGGGGCAGAGAGGGGGACCTAATGGGGACTAGGGCAGGGCTCAACCCCAAGGCTGAGGCTCGTTAACACCCCTCACCCTCCCGGCAGGACGAGGGCCGAGAACACATTCCGGATCAACTGCCCCCACCTGCCCTTGCTCTGGGAAAAGAAAACTCCCCCTGCCCAGGTGTCACCGGGTCCCTTCCTCAAGAGGAGGGAGAGCAGGAGAGGCAGAGGGCCCCCACCCCTAGGAGACCCCCCTCTCCGAGCTTCCCCAAGCCTGAGAGAGGCTCCTGGCTGCTTTGGGTTCCAGGGCAGGGGATCCCTGGGGAAGAGGGAGCTGGCCTAGTGTTTCAAGAGCCTGGCAAAAGCGTGTGGAAGTAAATGGGGGCACTAGTGGTATCCCAGCTGACCCCGGGAAACCCCACCTTTAGCTGCCTCATTTATTTATTTCGTGCCCATACTGGGGCTTGAACTTAAGGCCTCACACTCTTGCTTGGCATTTTTGCTCAAGGCTGTTGCTCTACCACTTGAGCCACACCACCACTTCTGGCTTTTGTTAATTGGCAATAAGACTTTTCTGCCTGGGCTAGCTTTGAACCTCAGTGCTCAGATCTCAGCCTCCTGAGCAGGATTACATGCATGAGCCACTAGTGCCCGGCTTAGCAGTCTAATTTACTGGGGCACATAACACTGCTTCAGCTGAAGACAGGGTTCTAATGGCTGGAAAGAGTTTGGAAATGACTTCTGTCAAGCCTGTCTTGGGGAAGTAGGAGGAAGACCGTTTGCCTAGGTTCAAAGGCCTGGCAGGCTTCTAGGGTTTTCCAGAGACCATGAGATCCTGCACCCTTTCCCAGCTTCCCAGTCTTCATCCACTGGTCTCAGGTCTTTTTGTCTGCTAGGATTTGAGGAAGGAGGTAGAGGGCTATTTTGGGGATCCACACACCCCGCTATCTATGCCAATGGAAGAGTTTTCTTGTTTGGACACGATTCCACAGGATACAGAAATGACTTTGGAGTTCAGGTGGAGGGGTCTCCCCCCCCTCACCCCCCGAGTCTCTGGAGGTTGAGAAAGCTCTGCGCTTCCAAGACTCAGAACACTCCTGCAAGCTGGAGGGGGCCAGGTGGGCCTGGGGCCAGGGGGTAAAATCAGCGTGTTGAGGGGGGGTTGGAGGTGCCCCGCCTCCGGCTGTGGAGAGGTCCCCTGTGGACAGTGCCTAGAGGGGCTTCTGCTGACCCAACAATGGCTCCCGGGAGGGCGGCTCCTCTCGCTTTGCCCTCTCTGGAGAGCAGCAAAGGCATCTGAAGGTGGCAGGGGTATGGAGAAGAGCCAGTTCAGGAAGGCGCTGCTGGACCCAGCAGAGGGACTTGAATCCTCCACTCCACCCCAATACAAACCACCTGGCACCTGCTCCCCAACGGGCCATGGTGAGATTCCTCGCTTCCAGCCAGTACCTCCCATGGTGTAGCTATATCTCCGTCCTGGGGAAAGCTAGCAAGTTTTCCTTAGAGACAAGTTCAAAACCTATGACTGGGCCAGGCACTGGTGGCTCACGCTGTAATCCTAGCTACTCAGGAGGCTGAGATCTG